CTAATATAAATTTTACATTTTGATATCTCAAGTTTAATTTTAATATAAAATTACTGAACAATTATGTTTTAGTATCTAAAATTTATGAGATTTTCGTACCTGCAATTTTTAAAATTTACATATTGGTCCTATGATTAGATTTCACTTGAATCCATGAATCCAATCCACCAATCCTTTTGAACGAATCCATGAATCCAATCCATTATAACATAAAAGTATAAATCATGTTTGTACAATGTGTTGTATCCCTCAATATCACTCAACTGTAGGAGAAGATTCGGCCATTTTATATTTGCTCATTACGTGAAACATTAAATAAATGATAAAAGACATACGACTCTAAAATATTGCAAGAGAAAATTTATAAACTCAAGTAGAACATTTATGGGGTGCTAAACAAACTGCTACTAACTACATGTAACAAAATATGCGGCATCTACATAAGCCAGTGTCAATAAATTGCTACGGTGAAAAGGGTTAATTGTTTTATTGACAGCCAACTAAAAAGAATTGTTCAAAACCTTTCCATCATCTACTTCCTTTTCATTTTATTTTTCACTCGCCTTCCATAACCCTTTCTTTATTTCATTCTTTGCCATCTTCGTCTAACCCTAATTAGTATACTAGTTTTATCTATTCTAATCACAAGTATGAATACACGACTCACCAACAGTTTAGAGAACTAATAATTGAACTATGAACCACTAACTTTTTTTCAACTAAATATAGAGCTCAATTAAAAATAAAAATATATGGTATTACTTATTAGAAAGTTTTCATTTTCCACTTTGGGATTTTATATGTACGTGTAGATATCTAGGTAAACATTTCCATGTATATTTGTTGAAAATTCTAGCCCAGGAGAAAAAGAAAAACTTTAGAGAGAAGCAAAAGGGATACAAACTTCTAAACTCATATATACGTCATCCATACCCTAATCCATAATCAATGGGTCTACTTGGTTTAGGCAAATATACTAGCAAAAATAAAATAAAAAAATTAAATTAGATATTGACCGCCATATATATCTTCTCATTCAATATTATATTGTCAAGTTAATATTACTAACAAAACGGCTAACGAAAAATTAATTTTAGACTAATAATACTAACAAAACACCATAACGAGCCACATAATACATGTCTATAAACCATCTCCGCCCCACGACAAGGCGCAACATCTCCAACTAGTAATATATAGTAGTGAGCTCCTACCAAATTAGGAATCAATCCAAATCTTCATAGGGCTAGCTTGAATGTATTTCAGCCCACAAAGCCAAAGAAGAAAGGTGAGAAGATGATCGTTGGACACTATTGCCTCTTGGAAGGTGTCGCAACCGCACCTCGGAATAAGGGGACCGTCGCGAAATGCTCAGAGTCCCCATGAATCTTATTTGGACTGGATAGAACACTCATTTGGTCCGGTCTAGACTTTAGGTTCTAAACCGGGATTTGGTCTGCGAAATTTTAGAGATTTGGGTTCGGGAGTACGACTACGTCTGGGGAAGTCTATTCACACCTCACAACGCCCAAAGTTGGTACTACTTAAATCGATAATTTTTTAAAGGGTTGAGTGTATATTATTTGCGGCTTTATTGATGTATTTAATTTTATGATTAAGTTAATTAGGTGTTTAGTATTACAATTTGATCATACGTCTATTGACGTAAATCTCGAACATAAAGAAAGAGTATTTAAATTAGTTGGACTCGAACCTATTGGTTGCCTACGTACCCGAGTAGTCGGGATCAAAGTCCACGTAGTTCGTTTGAGTTGAAGGATTTTAAAAGAGGAAACTTCACACGTTCTATTGATCGTGTTGAAGGGTTACAATGGAGCTTTCATGAGAAAATCTATTTTGATTATTTAATTGTGATGGAGTGATTCACAATTTTTAAAGTAATTTCAATTTAAGAGATTATCATGGTCTATTGACGATGATCTTGTATTAGGAAATTTCTATTAAAATATGGAGATTGCTAAATGTCGCCTTAATCGCCCTAATTTATAAATTAAAATTATAGTTTGGTCTTGTTTATTTAATTAAAATATTTTATTCCAACAAACCCTTAGACATCCGCTGATCCCACTGCCATAACCACTGCCCCCGCCATGTCTTATACTTTCCTGGAGTTTTATCTTCATTTAACAAAACTAACTTTTTCAAGTGTGTTAAACAAGAAGGAAAAAGACAAAACAACTTAATTGTGATTTCATATAGAATGAAAATGAAACGAACGCTGGCGGGAGTGTAGGGATAATCGTAGACTCGCAGACACACGCACTGCGGGAGAAGGGAGTAGGCGGTGGCGGCCGGCGGGAAGAAGGAACGACGTATGGGAGTGTAGGGCCGTCGGCAGTGGAAAAGTGTTGGAAATTTGGTTGAACCGGATTAACCAAGTCAAATCGGCCAACTGGTTTGAGATTAGACCGACCGAACCGATATTCTAATTCCATGAAGGACACAGCCCTTTGGCCTAGTGGCGGTTGCATTATTTTATGGATAAGGATAACCTTATGGATAAATGCAACCCTTCATATGGATAAGGATAACCTTTCATATGAATAGAGGCAGTACCTCCAGTTTACTCGGCCGAACATCTCACAGGCTGTCAATTACACTGCCTAGCATATGCACAATCCCCTCCAACATCACTGCATGGGCTCTTCTTCAGCAACAATTCACCATTGATTCTCTCCGGCTACTCCGACGTGGCGTGGGCTAACTCCGTAGCTGATCGCCGCTCCACCACTAGCTATGCTGTCTATATCGGTTCCCATCTCATCTCCTGGTCTTCTCGCAAACAACGCACGGTAGCCCGCTCCTCAACCGAAGTAGAATACAAGGCCTTGGCAACTCTGGTCGCCGAGATCGTTTGGATTGAGTCGCTACTTTCTGAAATTGAACAGCCTCTTCCGTGTGCTCCCAAAATCTGGTGTGATAATCTTGGTGCGACATACCTCACAGCCAACCCAGTCTTTCATTCTCGCAACAAACACATGGAAATTGACTTCCATTTCGTTCTTGAAAGGATTGCTGTTGGCAAATTGCTCATCCGTTACATCTCCACCGAAGACCATATCGCCGACCTGCTCACCAAGCCGCTACCCGCCAACGTTTTTTGCATTTCCGTAACAAGTTGAAGGTTCTTCCCATCAACTTGCGGGGGCGTGTTAAGGAATACCGAGTCTACCACCACTCTTTCCACTACCCACACTCAACAACCTTCTGTTTTTCTGTTCCTATTAATTCTCCTTCTCTAACGTATCAACATTGCTCTTGTAAATCTCCTGTATAAATTAGCTACCTACTTCATTAATGAGAATATCAGAGAATTATAGCTCTACAGGGTGGATAAATTAGCTACCTTCTTCTTGTGCCCTTTTACTTTGTACCATTGCTGATTATAATTAACTGTAACTAATAATGAAGTTAATAGAAGGTTATTTTATTTTTTCTTTCTTTGCCACTCCAAAACCGAGACCCAAATTCCCAAAAGCCCTTTGTCGATCATAATCAACTCATTGGCAGCGAGATTAAGTAATTGCCTAATTCGTTTTACCGGTTCAACCAAATCAATATTGACATCTAAGATTTGTTATTGCTAATCTCGATGGTCCACGATAAATATGTTTGCCCTAACCACTTTGAGTATCACTTTAGATGTTTAAAATTCGAGATTGCGAGACTTATGTAATCAAGTTTATTTAATTAAATTATGTTTTAATCCAGAAAAAATTGGTGTCTACAGAAGGTATTGCAAGAAATGATGGTTTTGAATGAGTACAAAAAGAATCATTCGATCTAATTAGAGTCGTAATATAGGAAGAGTCATACTATTAATTAGAAGCATTATATCAAAGTTTTCATCGATGCCCAGCCTTTCGCAATGATAGGGGAACTCATACATTCTCTCATACATTCTCTCATATAAGCCGTTGAGCCGATCAAACAAATAATTTTAAACTCAATGGGTGTTCCAACCAATTTAAACCATTTTCTCCGTATTATAAAAATATATGCATATTATATTGTAATAATTTAAGATTTAAAAATCCAAAAGTAATTCGATAGGTTTCATACAATGATTTAACAATAAATATATCATTAAGAGAAATTTTACAATGCTATATAGTATTGGTGCTATAGGTTTTTGCCTTTATGGTACAACTTAAAATTGTACATTTATGTTATGATACAACTTCATATTGTACCTATACTTTTGATACAAATCCTTTTATGGTACAACTTAAACTTGTACCTTTAGGTGATGGTACAACTTCACGTTGTAAAGTTGTACCATAACATAATGATACAAATTGCTTTATGGTACAAGCTAAACCTATACATTTAATGTTATGGTACAACTTTAAGTTGTACGTTAAAGCACCAATGCTATATAGCATAGTAGAAGTGCTCATATCATCAAACCCTAAAAGCTCCACATATAGGCTTCATTTTTTCGAGAATAGGGTTTCAGGCAGGACCAAAACGGCAACATTCTGTATAGGAGCCGCCGAGCCGGCCGGAAACCAAACAATCTGATTAAACCAGTGATTTTTGCGATTTTGATCGGCTACCAGTTTGGAGGCAACCTGAATTTTTGGGACCTATTTCAGTATCGATACCGTCGGGCCTGTTGACCTGTTCCAACCGGATTGCCTTGACAGCTTTTATTATTAAGTTCCTTATCATTCGTGTGCAGATAAGCAGCTTCCCTTATGGGTGGTGTAAAAGTAATTAGTTTCCCTAACGTGTATAAGACAACGTGTGTAAAAGTAATTAGTCTTCTGAATGACCTGGTGCATGCTTCTAAGGTCAGCAGTAGTGTGATCGGTGGGAAGAATTTTGCGAGACTACAGACAATTATGGACAGATTTGGGCTTTTGGATGAGAGCAATTCGTTCGAAAAAAGACTATGGTTGATTTCGTATTACTCGGCGTAGAGTTTTGGAGCACTGATTGTTTATCGTTACCCTCCGTCATCACCCATCCAACCCATAGACACCAGAGGCGAATTTGATTGTTTTACTCCCGGTTCCGGTCTTAAACGGTTCGGTTTTCGATTAAATTGAAAAACCCCGGACTAAATAGCCAGCCCTATCTAGCCACACCAGATCTAGTAAAAAATATGCGGCGAGATACCTGCCCTACTCAATCAACAAATGCCAACAAATTATTCATCGGTTAAAAGAACGACAATCATATTTGTATATCAACCGCGACCTATGCAACTAAACTAAACTAAACAGAAAACCCATCGAAGAAGAAACAAACTAATTAAGGGCCATGCGGGCCTAACGAATCCAGTACTAGCAACAACGATAACAATAACGTCGAAAGGAAATCAACGAATTAAACTAATCCAAGCTGGCTGGCTGGCTAGGGTTTGACAACTGGCTTAATCCTGGTGGTTTGACCCATCACATCATTAGGCTCGATTGAAATGGAGGAGTATGAGGAGGTCTTCAACTCGAGAATTCTTTTTTTGATGACTGGATCTCTATGTAAGCGGATGAGTTCATCCAACTTCCCCGTCCACGTGAAGCAAATGATTGGATAAACCTGCATAACCAGCGAGATGAAAATGCATCCCAATATATACTGTCCACTCACCCATTCTGCGGCCTCTAACTTGTCAGCACCTTCGGCGGGCAAGATCGCGATGCCGATCAGGAAGGGAAGAAAGGGGATGAACAGAGCGATGGTCCACGACACAACCGAGTCGTCGTCTACGGTAAGAGTAAGCTCAGAGGAGCTGGATGCCTTCAGCTCATGGATTCTGCGTTCGATAGCTGGATCCTTGAGTTCTTCTATTTTTCTGGCGATCTCTCGGATTATCATAATGTACCGCCAACACGTGCTGGCCGGTACGCATACCGAATAGCATCCGAGGGAGAGGTATCTTGCCAAGTAGTAGTACGGGTGCGACTCGTCGGGGAGCTCGTTATTGATGACTCTGTGGGCGATGGCGATGACGGCCAGGGGGATTAGAGAACGAACGGCGATCCAAATCGTCGCCATCAATATCTTCATTGTAGGAGCAGTATTGGGACGAATATGCATACAGACGGTTCTTTCTACTATATTATATAGAAAATATCATCCAAGTAGCGTTTTGTCCTTTTCTTTTTCGGAATTGAAGAGTTATACGTATGTAGTTCTGTCATATACAAAATATATAGAATTCTTTTCATTGTCCCTTTCTTTCTATGAACGTTTTCCAAACTGAATTAGGTTAACTTAAAGAAAGGGTGATATTCGAACCGGTTTATACCATTGCACCGCGGTATAGCAAGTGGAATGATTAGACCGGTTGTGAGATCAGTTTATGTCATCGGTTTATGTCGATTTAACTAAATATGTAGTGCCTTCTCGGTTGACGATTCTGAGTTAGTGAAGGCCTAGGAGTTGTGATTGTGGTTGGCTGCTTCCCTAACTTGACCTGCTTCCTGTTCTGTCGGCAGGTCCTCTCGATCTCGGGATCTAGTGGCAGTAAATTGCCAGCCGTCCTCCTTGGCATGCACGAGGAGGATAAACCTGAAAAATTCACCTGCACACTAACACCCAGATCAAAATAGTTCACTCACAAAAATCAACAAATATAAGGTATGGTCATAGTAACTTATCGAAGCGGCAGTGGATTAAATAAGGTACTATGCGGTCTTGATTGGGATATCGTTCTTCAGGCTAAATAATTAACTCATAGTGGGGTGATTTTCATGATTTCATTCAAGCACAAACTCATTTTCAAAGCATCACGGTCATGTAGAATTATGAAATTCCATTAACATCAATTGAATTTAACCATATATAAATCATATATGAAGACAATTTACTTACAATTCATATTTAAATAACATGCTATATTTCATATAAAGTAACAAATATACAATATTTAACGACAAGAATACCTAAACATTTATACTTGAATCCAACAAATAACATCAACAATTAACTTTTTTAACTCATAAAATAATTTATAAATTTATTTTCTATTAATTAAAATTACTAAAACTACAGCGTTTTGCTTAGAGAATTGTAAATTGATCATTGGGGACATACCGGTAGGGTTCATGACAGATACTGATTGAACTAGATTCAACCGGCCAAAATCATATTCATGTTGCTTATATAATAATAATAATTAATATCTTAATCCCCAAAGGATTTGGGTCCACTATCATATTCACTTTGCTTTCCCTGCAATTGAATACTTGTAATCTTTCATGCGCCAACTCGAAGGTGTTGAGTACGAATAAGGCTTTGTCTAGTGGTAATACACTAGCCTAGAACTTGGAGATCCCAGGTTTAAATCCCTTAAGTAGTACCTTAATCACAAAAAAGAAATCTATATCACCTTTATAAAAAAAACTCGAAGGTGTTGTACCCAAAGAAAGATCACCCAATCTAGTTAGAGTTTTCATATTGGAAGACTCCTAGTCTCCTACTAAAAGAAAATTTGTAACTTCTACCCTCATTCAAATTTTCCTACAACGAGAGTGAAAGTAGGAAGGGTATTTGTGTCTTCTCAATGATCTATTTGTTTCTCATTTGTACCTAAAAGAAAGAACCACATACTAGAATTCAAACCGTGGTCATTTTCAATAATGACAAGAACATTAACCAATCGAACTATATAGATAAATTGTATCATTTTAAATAAAAAAACATATATGAAGCTAAAATTAAAATTCAACAAACTTTTCAACGGTTAGCTAAGGTCACTAAATTTTCGCTCGGTACTTATTGGTATTTTGATACTTCAATTTTCATATTTAATTATCATAAACCAAATATCATTGGTTCAATATTACTTATCGAATTGCAATATCGAATATGTAGAAGCGATGTTGAACTCTTACATTAGTATTAGTTTATCGAAACTATGAGACAATCATATTCATATCTTTCTGCAAACTATATAGGACGGGTTCTTTGAACGTTTTAGCTCGGCTAACCGTTAAGTTTTAAATCTTCCTAATTCGACAAGCATGATAGGATCCAACAATCATTAGACGAGGTTGAGTTTAATATGTTTGTTTATTTCATCTTTTTTTATGTATTTAAATGAATTTGTAGAGCAAGGACATGTCTACATATAGGGGTGGTATTCGGTCGGTAATCGGTAAACCGGTTACCGACTTACCGGTTTTCGGTATGCCGAGTGTGGGTAAGTGGGAATCGATTACCGATACCGGTTTGTAACCGGTTTACAGGTTACCGAATTACCGGTAAACAATTACAAATCGTTTTTACCGACTTACCGTAAGGAGTAGTTGCGGACGGTTTTTCGGTTCATTTAACCGGAAAATTACCGAACCGAATTTCTGGGCAATGGGGTGATGTTGCAATATTTTGATTTTCTGAGTTTTTTCTTTATTTTCGTAATTAATAATTATTTTTAACTCTTATTTATAATATTTTTGAGGTCTATACTTACTTACTTCCATTCATGTATGTAATATTTGTGAATAATGAAGTATATGTTATTAGTTAATGCCGTAACTGGTCCGGTATCGGTATTACCGAATTACCGTTGGTATTTACTGATACTGGGGCCGGTAAACCGAGCTTCCCCATTTGACCCTCGGCTGCCGATACCGCCGGTAAACGGTTTACCGTTTACCGCCGGTTACCGATTCGGTAAAACGGTAAACCGTTTACCGACTTACCGTTTGTCACCCCTATCTACATATACACTCTTCACAATATATACTACTGGCATTATAATATTGTCGTCCCATTTCTTATTTCCTACAACGAGAGCAAAAGTATGAATAAATTTTTTGTCTTTGCCATTACTTATCTTTATTTTGTATAGAAAATAGATAAATATTGAGATTTGAACTAATGTATCTTCAAACACAGACAAGAGTCATAACCATTATTGTCAATTCGAGTATGACTCTGCTGGTTGAACCAATTCTACCTAAACCTGAGTATCTCAGCGGGTGGCGAAGGCCCAGTTGGTTGTCTAATCGGTCGAAGTCAAGTTTGTCTATCTCAGCGGAAAATCCGACCAATATAACCAACTGATTCGAGCATCGGGGTCACTTCAAAATGATATTGTTTTCAGCAATTTATATACGTAGATACGTTGTCATATCATTCTTTTACTTTTCACAGAACCCTACAACATGAAACATCACAGACCATGTTCGACTATCTCATCGTCTCTTCTTCTTGTTTTAGATTCGAGAGCCTACAATACTAGACCCATTCATCTCAAAAGCCATCATAATCCTGCAAAAGTAAATTTCATTTTTCTCCAGGTGCACAGTCATAGAGGCAGTCGACCTCATCTCATACAAATAAGAAGCAAAAAATATTAGAGAAACATGCATTTGAGTTGAAACTTTGTGTGACTAACAGAGGCCAAATTCCTCATTTTAATTATTGTTTAATATTTAATTAAATTATTATATATCTTATAAATAGAGGATACCTTTAAAATTGCGGGCCAAATATCATTAGTTCGAATATTCCATATCGAATTGAGGTATTGAATATGTAAAAGTGATGTATAATTCTTAAATTAGTATTAATTTTAGACCCACTATGACACAATCGTATTCATATCTTTGTGCAAACTATATGAGACTGGTTCTTTGAAAATTTTAGTTCAACTAACCGTCAAATTTGAAACCTCTTCCTATTCTGACATGATGGATCCAACAATCATTAGGAGTTTAATAAGTTGGTTCATTTCACCCTTTTTTAATGTGCTAATGAATTTGTAGGGAAATCACATGTCTCTATATACACTCTACATAATATGTAATAATGAAATGAGAAAATTGTTGTCTCGTTTCAAATTTCCTACAACGAGAGCGAAAGTAGGAATGATATTTTTTCTTCATAATTATTTTACAGAAACTACAAACTTTCAAAACCCAGAAATTGTAGCTCAAACTAAAAATCAGAGCATCGGAAATCAAAGTTCACATATTTTATTTCATATATCACTTATTTGAGAGATTTCTCTTTCTATAAACAAAATAAAATGAAACAAGTTATAGCCAAATCAACAACATTGTCTCGAAGACGATGATCCGCTTCTTCGTGGGAGAAAGTATACGTGCGTTGCCGCTTGAGATCTGGAGAGCAAAGACGAAAAGGATACACCACGAGTTCGTGAATGGGGACTATGAAATTGATCATCAAATCACGGGCTTGAGGCTAAATAAAAGGATATGAGGTTAGTTAGATGGCTGATGATATAAAATTTACCAATTTGGTACATATACACGAGATCTCCAGCGTCGGCTTAGGAAACAAGAATCGAAGGGGGAGTAGAAGATAAAGACTCTTTTATTAACAATTAATTGAGTGCATGGGGGTGGATAAATGATGCATTCATTTCTCTTTTTCTTAAAAAAATAAAACTAAAGACTTCAATAAAAAATGAAAAACAGTATCATAAAATTTGGTGGATTTATATTCAACTTTTGAAGTTTGTTCCGTTTTCGGGCCTAATCAGATTATTTAAAGCTATTATCCTAATAAAATTGATTTATTTTTATTGTTCCGCTGCTTTTTTGTAATACTTTGACCAAAAAATGTTAGTAAGTTAAATAATATATTAATTAAAATAATATAATAGTAACGCTCTATGAGAACACTCAAATTATAATTCTCGAAGAATATACGCTATTTCGCTCCCGTTCTAGCTCCTGCGAATTGGTAAGCTAAATACGTCGAGTCAATTTTTAGACAAAAAGACTACTGGCAGTCTCGCCTTCCATCACATATTGCCTTCCCTGGCAAACGCCCCCACTCTCAATTCCCACTTGGACGTTCCTCATTAATTTCACATCTGACACACAATGCAGTTAAAAGCGCGATTCTACCTAGAAGCGGGAAATGAGTAAAATCGTAAAACGTAGAATCAAAGCGTAAAAGCTTAAGTTTTTGACGCACCCTCTAAAATAACTAAAATATGTTAAGTACAACATATAATATGTAAAATGTGAGTGTGTAGATTTTAGATAAGTGAATAACTACATGAAATTCATTATTAAAATGTAATATCTAACACATAAACTAATTTGTGTTGACTCAAAAGTAGAGAAAATAATAAGCTCATAAACGTAGATATCATAACCCGTGAACGAGCTTGAGAATCCAAATTCTCATAAGCTGGTTTGAGTTTACATAATTACCCGTAAACGAGTTTGATCAATTACCCATAAACTTTTATCATAACCCAGGTAAGAGCCACAGGTAAAGATTAAGGGAGAAGACTTATAGAAGGTCAGGGGCTGTTGAGAATACCATTAGGTGTCTTTTCAACCTAATGTGAAGCCCCCTATCTCGACACTAGTTGTAGAACGAGTGATGAATCATGTTTTTATTTTTTTTACTTTTTCCTGATATAACTCAAAAATTACATCATTTTGGGCCAATTAGCACATTTTTATGAGATGATCAAAATCGTATAAAAACGCTTCAGAATCGCGATTATACAAATTTTAAGTGATTTTATCGATTTTACCCATGTTTTTACCAGTTTTTGTGACTAAGCGACTTTAGGTAGAAACTGAAACGTTTTGGTGGCCTGGATACGTAAAAACATAAGTTTTTACGTTTTAATACGCGATTTTGACTGCACTGCTGACACACACCGCCGCCATACGAGTGCGGCCTTCATCGCGTGATGAATACATGTTGTTGGAGTGCTTTTTAGGAGCTCGGAGGAGGATAGCGGAAAGTAGAAGATGGAGAAACAAATGTAGACAGTCCGGGTGAGTAAGAATATTATCCATATGTAGATGAGATTTTACATAATTTATAAATATAAGAACAATATATTGATTTTTTCATATATCTGGGAAAAAGTGAACTAAACGATTGGACTATTAATTCTCAAACCACTTAATCGAGCGGGCCAACAGGCTAAACCGGGTTGACAACCTTTTATACTTTGAAATTTATATATTCTAAAAATTTTGGGTTCCAATTCTTATGATTAAGTCAAATCGATCAATTTTTATTATTCAAACAAATCTATACACTAAATTATAATAATTTATACAATAAGCATTATTTTTTCGTGTTCTTCCATATTTGAGATTTGAAGGCATAATCTTTTCGTTATTCTATTGATTTCTTTATATACCTTTAATTCCTACCAATTCTAGATGACATATATTTCCTTCAAACTCCATTCATTTGTATAATAAAAAGTCCACAAATTTCTTCTAAGATATGAAAAAAATACACAACAGTAAATTAGTATGACTTGATAAAAAAAATAACTATTAACTAATTATCGCTAATGTCATAATCAATACATAGCATAAAAATTACTTTGAAATAATGAATGAACTATTTTAGATAACTTAAATTATTTAACAACATGAAGAAATTGATCAACATAAAATAAAATAAATTCATCCGACTAACGGGTCGGGAATTTTTTTTAAATATAATTATAAATTAACCAATGTAAAGGATAAAACAAAACTCCTTCGACCAAGGGGTCGAGTAAAAGCCAGTTCCTTTCCATCGTGTGTAGGATAAGCACCTTCCCTAATCGATGGTGTAAAAATTAATTAGTTTCCCTAATACCATTTTACCCTAAGAATTACAATTGGCCAACGAGCCGGACTTTGCTCTAGTTTTAGTGTTTATTTTTCGAGGAACCATGTTTCTGTAACATCCCGTACTCGACAAGATAATGTCCGCTTTGGGCCTCTACATCCGCACGGATTTCGTCTTGGGGTGCAATTTAGGGTGACTTCCATAAGGTCACCCATCCTTGTTGTACTCCACACTGAGCACGTTTAACTTTGGAGTTCTCACGAGAACTCCTCCATTTTAACCCAAAACGCGTCTTATCAGTTAAGGTCGGTTTCCTACTTATGAACCATGGATCTCTCCCGTGCTTTGTCGATGTGGGATTTGCCTAAGGTGTTACATACACTCCCCCCTGGGGCTCAAGGTTCTCATTGAGGTTTGCCCCACCATCGTGTAAGAGTGACGCAAAGATGCTCTGATACCACTTGTAATATCCCGAACCTTTACCCGACAAGATACTGTCCGCTTTGGGCCTCTACACCTGCACGGATTTCGACTTGGGGTGCAATTCAGGGTGATTTCCCATAAGGTCACTCATCCTTGTTGTCCTCCACACTGAACACGTTAAACTTTGGAGTTCTCGTCTATATCACCTCAAAACGCGTCTTATCAGTTAAGGTTGGTTTCCTACTTATGAACCATGGATCTCTCCCATGTTACAAACTTACAGTTTAAGTGTTTTACATAGAGGGTCCAACAGAAAAAAATGAACTCTCGTTGAATTAACTAATAATCAAACTTGGGCTTGTGGGCACTGGGCAGGGTGGGCTGCTTATTATGGGCCTATAAAACAGACTTATACCTGCCAGCGTATGAAAGGGACGATCTTCCATGGATAATCTTCTTCCCAGTTCCTACCAAAGCCCCATCGTGAGATTAAGTTTTGCCAACCACTTTATAATCTTGGGATTTCCTATGGTAATTTGAAGTAAGATAATTTGAATTTTTTTACATGCTATAGCAAGTTTAATAGGTTGCATTACGTAAAAACAATAGGTATTACGTAATAGTTACGTAACGTATGGTAACCTTATGTAATAGTCGTGAAGCACCATTACGGAGCCTTACGTAATAGACGGTTATTTTACATAATGAACACTAGCATTGGATTACGTAAAGTGTAAAGTCATTATGGAAGCCTTATGTTACGATGCTGATTTAACTATTACGTAAGAAATAACTGTCGTATGTAACCCTTACATAATGGAAGGTCCCTTTACGCAGGGCCGACCCATTGTATTCGGAGGCCCTATTCGAAAATAAAAAATGTGACCCTAAAATGTTTTCTCTATAAATTTATTATAAACAATAAATAAGTTCATAAAATGATTACAATAGGAATAACTTATAAATCATTGTTTGAAAAGTAATCAAATTCAAATTTTCTAGTTGCCATAATAAAAAATTGTTACAAAAATTAATGATTCCACTCGGCAGTCTAACTAATCCAAATTTCGAATCAAAATCCCCGCAAAAGAAAAAAAAGGCTCAAGATAGGGTGCATAACAATGGGTTATGCACCCATCAATAACCAAATCTGGACCCTTCATTTAGAAAATCCAGATCTAAGGATGGAGAATTAAAGACCATTTTTATTTTCCCTAGCTTTCTTAATCGGTTCATATCTTTTTCATTTCAACTCAGAGAATTAAAGACCATTTTTAATTTTTTTTTACACAGATGGAACGAGTTCATCGTGCTCTACAAAATGAAATCAATTTTCAATATTTTTTTAGAAAAAAAATTCTAGCCTCTCGGTACCAACTGCTTACCATATGGTATTTTCTTCGTTTTTAATTCGATTTTGAAAATGTTTACACAGAAGGGACGAGTTCATCATGATCTATTGGATCTACAAATTTTTGGGTGAACAAATTACAGGACCAAAAAATACCACACAATACCATACAATACCACCCTAGTATGGGGTGGTATCTTGTGGTACACAATGTTAAAAGTCGTAAATGATAGTTAATATACTTCTACTATCATGTATTCAACCATCCTACAGTCTTGGTTTGTTCATACCACCATGATACGCTTTTCAAACCATATGTATGCTCTTATTTCAATACCAGTCAATACCATATGGTATAGACTGGTAAAAAATGGCTCAATTTTTTTTTGTTCGAAAAATATATCAAAGTGGATATCATTTTGAAGAGTACAATTAATATGATCTAACTGTGCAAAAAAAATTAAATTTCAACTTAAAACGAGTGAGAAATCGTCCGTCAAAGATTAAGGAGGGGAAAATTAAAGGCTTTGCAGGAAAGAGAGGGATGCTGATGTGGACGGGTTAGTTATGGTTACTCACCATAAGGTTACTGACATGATTCGTTAAAAAAAAAAAAATACAAAAAAAATTCGGCCAGCCATTTCAATTTCCATTTCAAAACAAATTAGGCAGAAACTTCCTCCCCAATTTCGGCCCAAAACAAATTAGGCAACTAGGCAGCCCATTCCAATTTCATCTAGCCCATAACCCATTCCAATTTCACTATTTCGGCCATCTCCAACTCCAAGCAGCAAGCTTAGCTGTAGCAAAGTATGAAGAAGAACAGAGTCTCCAGACTCTAGCAGACAACAAGCAAGAAATACACAAATTCAAGTACGGTCACGAAATTCTTACCGATTAGGAGATTACCGAACCACGGCGGAGAGACAGCAGTCGCCAAGTCAAAAACAGGGTTAGAAGGCGAGCGCCGAGCGGGACTGCGAGAGCGCCGAAGCGGAACCACCGTCCACCAAATCAGTCAGAATAAGGGATTGCTGGATTGATTTCTTCTGCTGCTTCAGCTAGGAGGGGATTATTTCGTCGGTAGAATGAAAAAAGAGGAGATGCTTTGCTTCACCTAAAAAATGGCCGTGTATTTAATGGGGGGAAGGATTGACTAAAGACATTAGACGTTGATTATGATTTATGAAGAGTCGAAAAGTAATGCTGGCTAGAGACGTTGGCTTCTTTGGGAATGTGAGAATTTGGGGAAAGGAATTAATCAATGAATGATTTTGGGAAGGGGAGAAGAGAAAAAAGAGGCATAGGCGGCTGGGTGAGCAGAGGTCTCTCTGCTAGGGGTGGGCATTGGTGCGGTTCGAACCGCACCGCACCACATTAACACAAACCGCACTGCACTGCATGTTATTTGGACCGCACCGCATACTAGACCGCAATTAATTGGTGCGTTCAAACCGAACTGCTTAGATAAGAAATTTGGTGCGATCCAAACCGCACCGCGTATTCAAACCACAATGTAATGTGGACTATGCATAATTGAATTAACAAGTTTGAATTGACTTTCTACACTCGTCATTTGTAACTCTAACAAAAATGAATATCTAAGATCTTACTGAGTAACAAGTAATTTTATATATACACAACATGTTAGTTATTTCTTTAACAAATTTAACCACTTGAAATTAGTAAGAAAAACTAATTCTACGATGACTCAATTAACCTGGGTGTTTGACAAATTAAGAAAACATATATAAATTGGAGTCACCATCAGATGAGAAGTAACTAACGTCTTTTCCCATCCCCTGTTAAGTTAACCGCTGCTAATATGCAGAGCCACGATGTGTTGAATGTGCAGCTCCAAACATCACTATTCATAAACGACGCCGTCTCCGAAACCGCACAGCCATACAAAATAACGGTGCCGTTTTCACTTCCTCTCATGCTACCACTTAACGACGTCGTTGCAAGGAATCGTCATTCATAGTCTCGATACAACCTTCTCGAGTAGTGTTCTCCAGCTCTTCATCTTCAACCCCATGGAGACAAATTTCTCGAAGGCGGCTTTCCTCGATCTGGATCAAGATAGTCACCGCCTCTACAAAGAAGCTATGATGATTACTATCTTAATCATCACACTTACGAAACAGTCATCTGTTGAGAAACGGTTATCTTCTTCACTCTCTATAAATTATGTAATCTGACCTAGCTGTAGAACTTGGCAGTCGACAGAAAGAGTCTTGGGTGTATTTTTCTTTCTATCGTGGGTCCTTTCCTGAGTGTGTGTTTTAGCTCCTTAATTCACAGTGTTTGAACTGGGTGAATTAAGGATTGGGAAGTTTGTTGAGTGTTTAACTTAGTCTCAAAGAGCCAATTTGCTTTGGCTTGGCTAAGTGTTCTTTTGTAGTTCTGAATCTTTTATCTATAAATAAAATTATCCTTTCTTTTAGAAAGATGTTATACAGAGAGAATAGAATTAGTCAAATCAACAAATTCTATCCTCTATATCTAATTCACAATTGGTATCATAGCAGACTCTTTGTTGGACAAACTGTCGCCAAAGAGAAGCTCCAGAGATTACAGGATCCTCATCAGCATCATATTCGGCAAGCCCGAATCCTCCATGGTTTGATGGAACAGACTACACTGTCTGGAAGAAGAGGATGAGGATATATCTCCGAGGATGGGGATTTATGGGCTTTTGTGTGCAAAGGACCTATTCCCATGGATGCAGAGGAGGAAGAAAAATGGCGCGATGATCAGAAGCAGTCTTCTCAATTGGACTCAAGAGCGATGCATATTCTCTTCTCAACACTTTGCCCAGAAGAAAGAAGTCAGGTAGCTCAATGTGAGACAACAAAGGAAATTTGGGAGTCTCTTCAGACTACCCATGAAGGTACATCAGAGGTAAAAGAAAGTAGAATAGATGTACTTCTAAATGAATATGAATCATTTGAAATGAACTCAGGAGAATCCATGTCTAGTATGTACAAGAGGTTTAATGATCTGATCAATAGGCTAAAGGGTTTAGGTAAAACATTTGCCACTAAGGATCTTGTTAGAAAAATACTATGAAGTTTGCCTCGAGAATGGTTTCCTAAAAGAACAGTTATAGAAGAAGCTAAGGACTTAAATGTTTTGTCTATTGAAAGATTGATTGGGTCACTACTAAGTCATGAGGAAGTAATTGTTCAAATGAATAAAGAAGATAATAGAAGGAAAAATTTCATTGCTTTCAAAGCTAAAGAATATGACAGTGAATCTGATTATGATATGGGTGAAGAATTTGAACGTGAATTTGCTCTTGTTAGTAGAAGATTTCACAAAATGCTGAAAATGAAAAGAGACTTTCAAGATAGAAGGAACTTTAATGACTCAAAACAATTCACTAATCATAGAACTCGAGAAGAAAGTGAGAGGTTTCATACTCGACAACCTGATAAAAACTCCTTAAAAAGATTCAATTCTGAAAAAGGTCACTATAAAGGATTTGACAAATCATCAGAAGGCAGAGAAAGGTTTAAACAAGAAACCAGGGAAGACCTAAGGTCTTCCTCTGAGAAGGATTTAACAATCTGTTTTAAGTGTGGAAAAACAAGACATAAGAGATCCAGATGTCCTCTAAATTCAAAGGCTCAAGAGAAGGCTTTTGCTGCATCATGGAGCGACTACAGCTCAGAGGATGAGTTAGAAATCGAAAATTTGGCATACATGGCGTTTGCATCAAGAGGAGATGAAGTTCTATCGCTGGATGGAAATGAACAAGCTCTTCCATCAAGTTACCAGGTAATTTCAGACTCAGATTCTGATACTAATGAAAAATTTGAAGCAAAACCAAATTTTCTGCATGTTTTAAAAAATCTTCAAGAAGAGTGTAACAAACTCAAAAGTAGATATTGTCTTCTGATGACAGATAATCATGCTATGATGAAAGAATTAAACGACCTAAAAAGGATAGTTACTGTACAAAATAAATGTCAGGATAAACTTCACAAACAAATATTTGATCTAACTGATGAAAATCAGCAGCTAAAACAAATGCTCCATAATAACCAACTGAGGACTAAGAACGTTTTTAATGCATCAAACAAACATCCTCTTTATGAACACACTCAAAGAAAGAGTATTGCTGAAGATCATAAAAAAACAACTGTATGATAATTGGAGTAGGAAACATACAGTTGTATACATATGCTCATATTGTACTAGACGAGGACATTTGAGAAAGTTTTGCTATGATTTGCAAAGTATGAAGGAACCACCTACAAAAACATTTTGGGTACCTAAATGTACTAACTGATAATTGATTGCAGAATCTGGGAGATAGTGACAATGTTTGGTACCTTGACAGTGGCTGCTCCTACCACATGACAGGTAAACGAGAACTTTTTTCATCTCTAAGCTATAAAAAGGGAGGTAAGGTAGTTTTTGGTGATGACAGGGTTGGAATTATTCAAGGAAATGGAACAATTGGTAAAAGTCCATTTCCAGTAATAAAAAATCTACTGTTTGTCCAAAGGTTGAAGCATAACTTGCTTTCCATAAGTCAGTTGTGCAACTCTGAAAATAAAGTCATATTTGAAGCCTCTTCTTGCAAAAATTTTAGAATAAAAGACAACAAGTTGCTCTTTAGTGGATCAAAGAAGAACAATATGTATGTAGTAAATTTAAACAATCTAGAAACCTTTCATGAAACCTATTTTTAGGCTGTATCCTATGATCTAGAGTCTTTGTGGCATAAAAAAAATAGGTCATGTGTGTTTATCAAAGCTTTCTAAACTGTCTAAAATGAAGTCGGCTCGTGGAATTCCATTATTAAAAGAAAATCCTAAATTTTTCTGTGATGCATGTGTCTGTGGGAAGTTGGCTAAGAAAAGTTTTAAATCAAAATGAGATATTACAACAACTCAGGTCTATGAACTAATTCATATGGATTTATTTGGACCAACTAATGTTACAATTCTTGGAGGAAAATCCTATGTTCTTGTTCTAGTTGATGACTTTTCTCGGTTCACATGGGTCTATCTTCTAGCTAGCAAAGATGAAGCATTCGAAAAATTCAAAATATTTGTGTCAAAGGTGTTAAATGAATCTAAATCTGGTATCAAATCTATACGTAGTGATAATGGAGGAGAATTTATATCAGATCAGTTCAGTGGTTTGTGCAATGATGAAGGAATTAATCACACTTTTTTTGCACCAAGAACACCCCAACAGAATGGAGTGGTAGAAAGAAAAAATAGGACTATAATTGAAACAGATAGAACTATGATTCTAGAATATGGGACACCAAAATTTCTGTGGGGGGAAGCTGTCATGACAGTAGTTTACACAATCAATCGTGTTCTAATTACAAAGAAGTTAAACAAAATACCATATGAGATACTTAAAGAGAAAACTCCTAATCTTGGATATTTTTATCCATTTGGATGCAAATGCTTTATACTAAATACAAAAGACCATCTACACAAATTTTATGCTAATGCTGAAAGAGATATCTTTCATGGATACTCCTTAAAAGGGCAAGCATACAGGGTGTACAATTTGAAAACCAAGAGAGTCGAGGAGTCTGTGTTTGTTAAGTTGGACGAAACTGCTTCCGTTGAGAAAGTTAGTGCAGAAAGCCTGGAATTTCTATTTCCCATTGAAGATCATGGTGAAGAAATTGATGAAGCATCAACAGAGCCAAAAGAAGACAGAGATGTCTCAAAAAATGCCCCTGCACACATTCTTAAACAGCATCCTCCATCACAAATCATTGGAAACCTTGAAGATGGGCTGCACACACGTGGTAAGTATCAACCAGGTCAGTATGCCTTTGTTTCTTTGCTAGAACCCAAAAATCATAAAGAGGCCTTAAATGATGATGAATGGGTATGTGTTTTGCAAGAAGAATTATTACAATTTGCTCGATTACATGTTTGGGAACTAGTCCCTAGACCAATAAACAAACTAATTATAGGAACAAGATGGGTATTCAGAAACAAGACAGATGAAAATGGGACTGTAACTAAGAACAAAGCAAGACTTGTTGCTCAAGGATACTCACAAGAAGAGGGTATAGATTTTGATGAATCCTTTTCTCTAGTTGCTAGAATATAATCTATTAGGCTTCTATGTGCATATGCATGCTATATGAAGATACCTTTATTTCAAATGGATGTAAAGAGTGCCTTTTTAAATGGAGAAATCAAAGAGGAAGTATATGTTAGTCAACCCCCAGGTTTTGTTGATAGTGAATTTCCAGACTATGTTTTCAAGTTGTCAAAAGCTTTATATGGTTTAAAACAAGCTCCTAGAGCTTGGTTTGAAAAACTGTCTGCTTTCTTAAAAACTGAAGGTTTCTCACAAGGAAGTGTGGATAAAACACTTTTCATTAAGAAAGACAAAACTGATACTTTAATTGTACAAGTATATGTTGATGACATTATTTTTGGATCTACTAATCCCCTTATGTGCTTTGAGTTTTGTGAATCAATGAAGTCAGAGTTTGAAATGAGTATGATGGGTGAGTTGTCACATTTCCTTGGTCTACAAATTAAGCAGACCAAATCAGGTATGTTTATTAGTCAAACAAATTACATTGATTCCATGATTAAAAAGTTTGATATGGTATCTGTGAATGCATGTTCAACTCCTATGGCCACAAATCTTAGGTTAGATAAGGATGAAAGTGGCACTCCCTTATGTGAAAAGAAGTACAGAAGGATGATAGGATCTCTTCTTTATTTAACTGCTAGTCGTCCTGATATTCAATATAGTGTTGGTTTATGTGCAAGATTTCAAGCAAATCCTAAAGAAAGTCAATTCAAGGCTGTAAAACGAATTTTCAGATATCTTAAAGGAACTTCTCAAGTAGGTCTTTGGTACCCTTTCACAGATTCCTTTGACTTAGTTGGATATAGTGATTCAGACTTTGGAGGCAGCCTCATAGATAGAAAAAGTACACTAGGAAGTGTTCAATTTTTAGGGCCAGCTCTTGTATCTTGGTTTAGCAAAAAACAAGGTGCTGTTGCATTATCTACTGCTGAGGCATAGTACATGGCAGCTGGAAGCTGCTGTACTCAGCTAATGTGGATGAAAGCACAATTGTCTGATTATGGGTTTAAAATAAATAATATCCCAGTTTGTTGTGATAACACTAGCACAATTTGCATGACAAAGAACCCAGTACAACATTCAAGAACCAAGCACATAGAAATTAAGTATCACTTTATAAGAGAATTGGTTCAAGATGGACTAGTAAATCTTCAGTTTGTATCGACCGACTTTCAATTAGCAGACCTCTTTACAAAACCCTTGCCCAGTGAACGCTTTCTGTATTTGTGTACAGAAATAGGGCTAAAATCTTTTGAACAAATTATAAATCTAAAAAGCTAAGACAACCATTGTGAAACAGTTACTCTAGATGTTTTGCTTGCCTTGCATGACACAAACATTTACTTTTACGGCTCATGCTTGTTGCTTTTTAAGCGTTCTTTGCATGCTATGGAAATAATTACACTCGATGTTTACGTTGGAGACTGTTAGTATTCCTCCAGCCCTTCTGTAGTTTTCCTCTATTTAAGCAACGCTCTTCCTCCTCTCTTCCTCACTTGAAGTAAGAGAATCAAACCACCTTACCATAGATATTCCCTCCTACTCTAAAAAAAAAACCATGAGTGACTCTCTCCCCCGTCCCTTCCGTTTCGATGGCCTTGTCCACACCTACCCTGGCTACATGTTTCATGAGCCAGTGGTAATCAATCACCACCGCCACCTTCAACACTTTGAAAACAAGAGACTCCATCATATCACTCAACTTGACCCTTACGAATTCAACCTCTACAAGTATGATATTGTGTCTCTCATTGAAGGGTTGGGTTGGGAGTTTTTGCTAAGGAAACCCCTTCATCCTGCTTGTCCCGGTGCTGTCAAGTACTTCTATTCAAACTTGAGGTGTCAAGGTGTCAGCACTAGGATTTTCACCACGGTGGTGTATGGTCATCTTCTGACCATTCCAGTTGAAGCTCTCAATGGAATATTGAGCTTTCCTTATCAAGGGCTTGACATCGCTCACCCTTCTGAATTATGGAAGCAAGAATTCAAGCTAGCCACTGAATATGGGAATTTCTCAAATGAACCAACTGGTGGTTCAGATGTCCCAATCCCTGTCAGCTGGCTGCCTCCCAGGCTACAAGTGTTTCACCACTTCCTCACTCATGTATTTTTTCCTCGGTCTTTCAATCTTGATAGGGTTCTGCCAATGGACCTCTGGATAATCTCCAGTGCTACTGCTGGAAGGAAGCTCAACTTTTCCTCTCTCCTGTTCTCTAACTTGCTTCCAGTAGGAGATGAGCACTACCAGGGGCTACTGCCTTTTGGCTCCATCATTACCAGGCTGCTTATCAACCTTGGTGTTGATTTATCTGATCAGCGCAGTGTGTCCTCAACTATGTATGTGAGTGCATTAAATGTGCCTACAGACTTTCCACCTCCTCCTCTCCCCTCTGCTTCGCTCCTTGGACCTTGTGCAAAAATTTCTACAGCCAAAAAGGCCAAATCTACTGGGGAGCCCAGTAAAACTGATGATCTGGTTTTTACTGTTTCTGAGGGAAACTCCTCCTTAGATGAATCTGTTGCCTCTGCTCCTGCATCTTAATGCTTCTGTAGTCCAGGGAATTATGTCTAGGTGTTCTAGTTAGTCAGGGGGAACATGTCTTTAGTATTTTGTGATACTGTCTGGTTGGTCAGACAGAGCTTAAGTTAAGGGGGAATCTGTTTTTCAGTTTGTACTGTCTGGTTGGTCAGACAGAGCTTAAGTTGAGGGGGAATATTTTTTTCAGTTTGTATTTGTACTGTCTGGTTGGTCAGACATCGCTGTCCCTTGTGGACAAGCGCCTTTTGTTGTACCCCTCCTTATTTCTGCAATGAAATGGTTAGTTTTTCGGCGACTGTTTGAGCTGTGTGTTTCTGTGTTCTGTTTCAGGAAAGCCTCAGGACTTCTCGGACGAAGGGGGAAATTGTTGAATGTGCAGCTCCAAACATCACTACTCATAAACGACACCGTCTCAGAAACCGCACTGCCATACAAAACAACGGTGCCGTTTTGACTTCCTCTCACGCTACCGCTTAACGACGTCGTTGCAAGGAATCGTCCTGCAAAGTCTCGATACAGCCTTCTCGAGCAATGTTCTCCAGCTCTTCATCTTCAACCCCATGGAGACAACTTTCTCGAAGGCTGCTTTCCTCGATCTGTATCAAGATAGTCACCGCCTCTACAAAGAAGCTATGATGATTACTATCTTAATCATCACACTTAGGAAACGGTCATCTGCCGAGAAACAGTTATCTTCACTCTCTATAAATTATGTAATCTGACCTAGCTGTAGAACTTGGCAGTCGACATAAAGAGTCTTGGGTGTATTTTTCTTTCTATCGTGGGTCCTTTCTTGAGTGTGTGTTTTAGCTCCTTAATTCACCGTGTTTGAACTGGGTGAACTAAGGATTGGGAAGTTTGTTGAGTGTTTAACTTAGTCTGAAAGACCCAATTTGCTTTGGCTTGGCTAAGTGTTCTTTTGTTGTTCTTAATCTCTTATCTATAAATAAAATTATCCTTTCTTTTAGAAAGATCTTATACAAAGAGAATAGAATTAGTCAAATCAACAAATTCTATCCTCTATATGTAATCCACACGATGATCATGTACGAAATTTATTTATCAATCAAGATGGCAAGATCGTTGTCAAATTCGATAATTACCCAGCCAAGGACGCAACCACTGAAATCTAGGCATACTGTTACTGACTCTCGTTGATGCAGAAACCATTGTTGTGATCACAATTGCATTCCATTGAGCACTTCCCAGGTTTGTAAGTCAAGAGGGATGAGAAGTTGGCGAAGGCGGCGAGAATGGATAGCGAGGGGAAGGGGGCAGATGGGGACGGCGGCGGGAATGGATTGCAAGAGGGACTGTACTGGTTCGGTGTCGGCTGCGGTTTCGGTCAACCCGTACCGCAAAACCGCAAACCGTTTAAGAATTATACCGCAATTGAAACCACAATCTTAATTGTGCCCTTTGGATTGACCGCATAAGCGATTTGGAGCGGGCGGAGCGGTTTGGACCGCACCAACGCCCACTGATGACTCGATATTTGCACATGTTTTCCCCTTTGTTTCTTGATCATTTAAGCTTGCATTGTCACTTCTTTGGCCTATTTTATGCTAGGTTGTGTTCATTTGTCACATTTCAGGCCCTAGCACATAAAGTGAAGCGTAGGCACAACTTTCAAGTCAATCGGAGTCATTTGGCAATTCGGGAGAAGAAACACGAGCATGACCTGAGGAATAATGGATTTCTACCTCATATAATGGACAAATTATCATGAAAATTTGTTATGAAAAGAAAGAGGACGAGACTACGAGCGTCTGGGTTCAAACGGCGACTGATTTGGAGTCCGGACGAGGGAGAAACGAAGCTTTGAACAGGAGCAGAGGAAGAATTACGGGCAGGATAATTACGACCGTAATTTCCCCTCCCATGCCCGTATTTTCACTGCCGAGAGGAGCTTTGGGTGCGCTGAAACTTAACCAAAACGCGTGTTTTGGGCAAAATACGGGCATGGAAGAATTATGACCGTAATTCAGCCCGTAATTCGCCCAGAATCGGGTTTTTGAGGCAGATTCGAGCCAAAGGAAAGAGAGAGCTGGGGTTTTGGTTCCAAAACACCCAAGGGACGAACCCTAGAGAGAGAGAGCGACTTGGGAACATTCTTGGAGCTATTTTGGGGGATTTCTTCGCCATTGGAGCTCGGGAATCAAGCTTGGAGATGGAGATTGAAGATCTAGATCAGATTTCTGCAGTCTCTCTCTTCTCTATGGAGTAACTTCCCTTCACTTAGGTTTTGAGGAACCCTAGTTCCATGAGTTAGGATCTTTCTTGTATGAAGTTTTGGATGCTATATTGTTTGATTATAATCGAATGATGCATGATTATTGAGTCAATTGAAGTCTGATCAACTTTTCCTGATTTCTGCTGCAACTTGAGATAGATAGAATCTGATTAGGTTGCTAGAGTCTCATCATTCGGTAGTAGGAGATTGGCTATACGAGAGTTAGTCAGTTTACTGCTTTGCACTGGAATCCAATTCCAGTAGTGGAGTTCTGTGCTTATTGCTTCAGCTTTCTATCCCGGTGAAGACTAGCCGTCTGCCGGATAGTTAGACTGAGAGGGCTTGGTCAGCTTAAGAGATTCCAAGCTACTGTCGGATCTTCCGCAGTTTAATCAACAGTAAAACAACCAAAAGGAATTACAACTTGGACCTAATTGAGGAGCTAGGGGGAATCATACCTAAGTGAGTTCACAACTTGTAATTAGTAGAGTAGTTTATAAATCAATCCTTAATCTAGTTTGATAGATAATGAACTGAAGCTGAGTAATAGTAACTCTAGAGACCCGTGGATTTGATATTTATTACTTGTGCACTATACTGCAGTCCCTTTCATTGGTTACACTTGGCCATTGTTAGGTGTTGTGTTTTAGAGCATCAAGTTTTTGGCGCCGTTGCCGGGGACTTTCTAGATTATTAGGAAAGGCAGAAGTTTGTTACTTTAGCATTTTTCTTTTCTTTTCCACCCTTGCTTTTCACTTGTGTGTTTTTTGTTTTTGTTGGTGCAGATCTGAATCATGGATCCTCATGGCTTCTCCAACCATTGGGGGTATCCACCACCATCCGAGTGGTATTACCCCGAGACTCCCTGGAGCAATCAACGAGGAGAAGACTTTGGATTCGGGTTCCAGTACCAACCCCCTTACTACGGAGAACAATCAGACCCCTGGGCATATCAAGAACAATCTCATTACCAAGAAGACTTTCTCCCACAACCAGAAGGGCCATCAGAGCTGGAGTTAGCCATGGAGGCCTTCACGGGCCACTCTGCAGAGCCATGCTACACTTCACTGGAAGATCCGAACAAACAATTAAGGCTTCTCGTGGAGCAGTTTGCTCGAGACACTGAGAAATCATGCTCCAAGATGGATATTCAAATCAAAGCCCTTGCCACTTTCGATCCCTCATTTCTCCATGATATGGAGGAGACTGTTCAGCACTCAGCGAAGCAAACAGAGTGGGTGGAGCAAATTTGCTCACATCTTGCTCAAGATCACCTTTCTGCTACCACGCTAGAAGAGGTGGAGGATGACAAAGGCTATGGGGATGTTGAGGAGCATACAGAAGTTATCACAGAGAACTCCCATGATAATCATGATCAGGAAAGTCCTATGGTTGCAGATCACACAATTCCTTATTTCTGCTCTAACATGCTGGGCCCGAGCGAGGAGATGCAAGATGATCTCATTGAAGAAATTACATGGCGACTTGCTCTCCAATCTGTGCTAGAAGAAGAAGAGCAAGAAAGGGTGCAGAAAGAAGTTGTGGAGGATGACGAAAGTGAAGCAGGAGGAGTTGTTGATCATTTCCCAGGGGTGATAACACATGAAGAAGAAAGGGGGGTTGAAGAAGCAATTGGCGTCCAGGCTGAGAACGGAGTTAAGGTGGAAGAGGCCTGCACCGGCCATGAGTTGCAAGTGATATCCCCACCAAACTTTGAGGAACTACTTAGCAATGACCCATTTGCAGTGTCTCTTTGCCAGACCAAGGCCACATCAACATCGGTCCCTCTTGGTGGACGCGATGGTGGCCAATCGATGCTGTCATATCTGGTTTGGGGAAATGAGACGAGAGAAGAGAAGAAGAGGTCTCGAGGGTGGAGACTTCATCTGCATCAAGTACATGAGCCTTCATCACCTGCCACACCACATGCTCGTGACTTGAGACTCCACCTCATCGACGAGAACCTCAACTTCAAGGAGGTTCTAGCATGGACCGAAACTTAGGAGCCATCGTCTGGCTCACGACGTGAAAGAAGCGCTTGTTGGGAGGCAACCCAACTAGTCGGTTTGCATTTCTTTCTCTATTTCTCCTCGGTTGAGTCGGTTTTGTTATTTGATTTTAGAGTCAATAACTCAACCTTTGTGAGATTTTATGAGGTGTTTGTGTTCTGACTACTCTCTCCTCCTGGAATGCACCGCCTGCCCCGTCCACCATCATTCACCCTTGATATGGTAACTTCGTTCTACCCTCCTTATCTTTCCTCCATTGAGGACAATGTCGTGCTTAAGTGTGGGGGGGATGTTCGATTATGTATGCGGGAGAATGTTTGGCTGTTTGTGTGCTTGGAGCCTAGTCCACTGTCCAAATTTTTAAATTTGAGGGCTCCAAGTACGTGTTTCCTTGCAAATTACCTACTCAGTATGCTTTGAATTGACAGTCTCTATAGTAATGTGCAACCTAGGGAGGTAGTGTAGCACTATGAAGGATGTTGAAGTATAAGATTTTTCCTATCTTGCTCACTGCTGTGCCAGTTGATTTTGTGAATTAGTGGAGCTAGGACCGTTGAATTCATGTGATAATGGTGACTCTATTGGGATTGTGTTATGGACTCGTGTATCGAACAGGGGTGCTCATGTGGAAAATGGAAAGCAGTTGGTCCTCCATGTCTAAATCATCAAAAATCTTAAACATGGGGTAAGCCCAATGTGTGTGGCACCGTTCATTGCACAAAATCGGGTATTGGAAGAGATTTTAGTGATCCTTAGTGGGGTACTCCTACAAGGTGAAGCTAAGCTATCTCTAGTACAAGTAAAATTTTCACCCGTTGAACGGTTTGCCTACTCGAGGATGTGTTTTTAAGGGCACGGATAGAGCTTCCGACCCCCCTTAATTTCATTGACCCTCCACACAAGTTGAGGAAAAGGAGTTAAAAGAAGTACTCTGGCGAGCGCCAGATGTACAGAAATTGCTCTTGCTCGACTAATAAGGGTCGACCGTGCAAAAGACTGCAGTTGGAACCCCCGCTAAGTGAATAAAAAGAAAAAAAAAGTAAGTAAAATGAAAGTGAAAATGGGGTTCCAACGGTGAAATGAAGTGAAAGAGCACCCCGGTACAACGAGTCATTGGTTGTGAATGGTGTGAGTCCCTTTATCCATGAACTGACTGTCTTACTTCTACTTCTTCTCATGGTCCTGGCTTGAGTCTAGTACTCGTATTGAGAGAGATAGGGAACGTCTTAGAAGACCACTTGACCTCGTAAGCTGCTATATGATCTAGGAAATCCTCTACCGACGATCGGGGTTGTTTGTTGCTATAGAGGTGTGGAGAGTTGCATTGGTTTGAGTCATGTTTGCTTGGGGACAAGCAAACAGTTAAGTGTGGGGGGATTTGATGACTCGATATTTGCACATGTTTTCCCCTTTGTTTCTTGATCATTTAAGCTTGCATTGTCACTTCTTTGGCCTATTTTATGCTAGGTTGTGTTCCTTTGTCACATTTCAGGCCCTAGTACATAAAGTGAAGCGTAGGCGCAAGTTTCAAGTCAATCGGAGTCATTTGGCAATTCGGGAGAAGAAACACGAGCATGACCTGAGGAATAATGGATTTCTACCTCATATAATGGACAAATTATCATGGAACTTTGTTATGAAAAGAAAGAGGACGAGACTACGAGCGTCTGGGTTCAAACGGCGACTGATTTGGAGTCCGGACGAGGGAGAAACGAAGCTTTGAACAGGAGCGGAGGAAGAATTACGGGCAGGAGAATTACGACCGTAATTTACCCTCCCATGCCCGTATTTTCACTGCCGAGAGGAGCTTTGGGTGCGCTGAAACTAAACCAAAACGCGTGTTTTGGGCAAAATACGGGCATGGAAGAATTACGACCGTAATTCAGCCCGTAATTCGCCCAGAATCGGGTTTTTGTGGCAGATTCGAGCCAAAGGAAAGAGAGAGCTGGGGTTTTGGTTCCAAAACACCCAAGGGACGAACCCTAGAGAGAGAGAGCGACTTGGGAACATTCTTGGAGCTATTTTGGGGGATTTCTTCGCCATTGGAGCTCGGGAATCAAGCTTGGAGATGGAGATTGAAGATCTAGATCAGATTTCTGCAGTCTCTCTCTTCTCTATGGAGTAACTTCCCTTCACTTAGGTTTTGAGGAACCCTAGTTCCATGAGTTAGGATCTTTCTTGTATGAAGTTTTGCATGCTATATTGTTTGATTATAATCGAATGATGCATGTTTATTGAGTCAATTGAAGTCTGATCAACTTTTCCTGATTTCTGCTGCAACTTGAGATAGATAGAATCTGATTAGGTTGCTAGAGTCTCATCATTCGGTAGTAGGAGATTGGCTATACGAGAGTTAGTCAGTTTACTGCTTTGCACTGGAATCCAATTCCAGTAGTGGAGTTCTGTGCTTATTGCTTCAGCTTTCTATCCCGGTGAAGACTAGTCGTCTGCCGGATAGTTAGACTGAGAGGGCTTGGTCAGCTTAAGAGATTCCAAGCTACTGTCGGATCTTCCGCAGTTTAATCAACAGTAAAACAACCAAAAGGAATTACAACTTGGACCTAATTGAGGAGCTAGGGGGAATCATACCTAAGTGAGTTCACAACTTGTAATTAGTAGAGTAGTTTATAAATCAATCCTTAATCTAGTTTGCTAGATAATGAACTGAAGCTGAGTAATAGTAACTCTAGAGACCCGTGGATTTGATATTTATTACTTGTGCACTATACTGCAGTCCCTTTCATTGGTTACACTTGGCCATTGTTAGGTGTTGTGTTTTAGAGCATCACCCACCCCTACTCTCTGCCGATTCGTGTTTGCACAGCTAATTTTTTTAATATATATTTATTGTATGGGCCAAGTGCCCCAAATATTTTGAGGCCCTGTGCTGTGAATCAGGCCAGCATAGGGCCTGGGCCGGGCCTGCCTTTACTTAATGAGTATTGACGTTGCGTTACATAAAGAGCTAAGTCATTATGGAAGCCTTACATAACACTTTCGATTTAGTCGTTACGTAAGGAATAACTATCATTCCATAACCTTTACGTAATGTATGTGTATTTTACGTAACAGTTGTAAATAGTCATTACGAAAGCCTTACGTAATGGAAGGTCCCTTTACGTAATGAGTATTAACATGACGTTTGATAGACCAATAATTACACCTGTTTTTACCCCTATTCTTGAGCCATTTGAGAGGTTGATTCTCGTGTTTTAAGCCGATTTCACGCGAGGTTGTGCGTTTATGTCATATTTCAGGGCTCGGCGTTGGAATCGAGGCGAGGAAACGAGTTTTGGGTCCAAAGGAGCAAAGTTAGGTCGAAGTGTGCTGCAGGAGGAAAATATCTGGTCATGGGCTCAAATACCCGACCAGGTATTTATCGTTTTTGCGTCTGAGAACCAGAAGGGGTCCCGGTCGTGAAGCATAAATCCGCGGTCGGGGATTCTTGTGCCAGATCGGGGATTTTTCCCTGAGGCAAAACACGCTTTTTATTTATACCCGGTAGAGACCCAAAATACCCGACCGGGTATCGCGACAGGCAGCAGTTTTAAAGGAAAAGAAGGTTAAAAATCAAGGGTTCCAAGTTTTAGAGAGACAGAGCGATTCATAGAGAGAGAAAGTGACGAACAAGAGTTCCCAAGTGCCCTAGCTTGATCTTCATCACCATTGGAGCCCGACTTGAGCTTGGAGAAGTGCTGATTGACAACCAAGAGCAGAAACTCATCCTTCACAGTATGATTTCGGCGTCAGAATATGCTTTTGCTTCTCTCTCCATGGAGTAGTTTTCCCATTCATCTGGGTATGGAGAACTCTAGATTTGTATGTTAGGTCTGATTGTATGAACCCAAGTACAGATTTCATGAGTTGATTATATTCGATTGAGGCTTGAATGATTGAATGACTTGAATCCTGATCAAATTCCCGTTGTTTCTGCTTTAACCTAGAATGAGAATATCTGCCTAGGTTGATAGAGCATCCTTGATTGAAGGTAGGGAGTTGGTGACTTTAGTCGAGGAGCCAACTCACTATTCTGTACCGAATTCACTTCGGTAGTGGAGCTTTTGTTCGTTAGGGCCTCAATCTGTTTACTCCGGTGGAGGTTAGTCGCCCGCTGGAGACCTTTAGTCGAGACTTCAGACTGTTTAAGAACCTTCCGCAATATAACTTTCATAGAAACTGAACTTGGTAAATTACAATCCGGCTTAACTGCAGTCTAGGGGGAACCATATCCGGGTGACCTCTCTTGACTTGAAAACAACCGTTTAACTTGCTTTGTTTGTTTGTTAATTTGGACTTGCACTAAAGTTTCACTGCTAGATAACAAGAATTCACCGAGTAGTCATCAAATCTAGGACCCGGGTTGACATTAAAACCCAAACCCGCTATACTACGCTTTAGGAAGTGGTTACACTTGGCCAATTTCTAGAGTGACAGTAGGAGTGAGTCAAGTTTTTGGCGCCGTTGCCGGGGACGGCTAGGTTGTTGAAGAAAAGTGATTTCTGTTACTTTAGCATTTTCATTTTCGCATTGATTGTTTGTTCTTTCCCACTTGTGCCTTCACGGGTTTGCATTGCTTGAGTGTGTGCAGATAGTGCATGACCTGTAGCCAGCCAGGAGGTTTACTGCCATTGGATCCAGAGCTTGAACGCACCTGCCGCCAACTTAGGAGACAACAGCGAGCTAGACTGGCTACGGAGGAGCGCATAGACGACCATTTGAGCAGCGAGTCTGAGGATGAGTACGAGATGGAAGGAGATTACAATCCACACCAGGGGAATCCTCACCAGGCTCCCCCGGTGAATCAGATCTTGGGGAACAACCCCATACTCCAGGCAGATGGGGTTCATCATCACTTACCACCACCGGGTCCCACCTTGGAGTATTACTACACTCCATGGATTGCTGACTTCCGCCCGGTCATCCTCTATCCGCCCATTCCGGCAAACAATTTCGAGATCAAGCCATGCTGGATTCAACTCATTACATCCTCTATCCAGTTCCATGGCTTGAAGGATGAGGAGGCAATGGTGCATCTTTCCCGTTTTCTGCAGCTGACGAACGGGTTCAAGCTGAATGGTGTCCCTGATGATGCAATCCGCCTTCACCTCTTCCCCCATTCTCTGGCGGGGAATGCTAAGAGGTGGTTGGAGACCCAGCCCCCACTGTCCATCACCTCTTGGGACGATCTGGCTGATAAGTTCGTGCATAGGTACTATCCGGCATCGAAGACTACAGAGATCCAGCGGGAGATCACTCACTTCCGCCAAGAGCCAGATGAGTCACTTCGTGATGCATGGGAGCGGTACATGGGATATTTCTGGCAGTGTCCCCATCATGGCTTCAGTGATGCATTCACAGTGGGGAACTTCTACAGTTCCCTCTCTCCTGACAGCTAGAGGGTGATTGAGTCTCTATGCCCAGGAGGGGATATTCTTACCAAGACTTCACCCGAACTGAACCAGATGATCAGTACCGTGGCTGCCAGAGATCATTCCTGGGGGCAGAGCAGCAGAGACAGGAATTCCCGGGACCATGGTGTGCACGCCATGGAGGCCAAGTCTGGGCTCGAGCAGCAGGTGGCCGAGTTAGTGCAAACATTGAAGCAGCCAAACAGTCTTATTCCGGGCAGAGGTCTGGGCGGGCCTCCCGTAGCTCAATGTCAGTGGTGTGAGAGCTTGAATCATCTGGTGGAGGACTGCCAAGCTATGTGGGAGTCCTCTACACCCCAGGAGCAGTTGGCCTTCATTGCCAATGCGCGGCGCCTCGATCCATACAGTAACACATACAATGAGGGGTGGCGCAAGCATCCCAACTTCGCTTAGAGTAGTAACTCCACTAAACCACCTGGTTTCCCAGAGCCAGCAGGTGGTTTTCAGCAGAGGCAGCCTTTCCAGGCCAGACAGGGGCCAGTTCCACCGCAACAGCCCTACCAGCCTAGGCAGGGGCAGCCATTCCAGCAGCCCCAGCGTCAGTATGCCGAGCCAGCAGTAGCTCCAGCTCCAGATAATCAGATGATGGAGCTGAAAAACATTTTAGCGGCATTCATGACTACCAGCCAGGCAAATTTCTCCAGGATAGACCAGAGCATCGCCTCACTGGAGGCAGGTCAGAGGAACCAAGGTGATATACTGCAGGACCTCCAACATCAGATTGGAGGAATATCCCGCCAGAACAACACCAGGGCACCGGGGACTCTGCCTGCCACCACCATCCCTAATCCTCGCGAGCCGCACCAGCAGCTGGATGCCATCTTCACCAGGAGCGGTAAGACCATATCCGCTGATCCTGTCCCGGCCAGACAGGAGGAACCACTACCTGCTTCAGCACTTCCAGCCGATGATGCAGAAGTGCGGGTGGAGAAGGAAGCCCTTGCTCCCAAGCCACAACCAGTGGTTAAGGAGCATGTGCCCCAGCTTCCCTTCCCCACTCACCTACACAAAGACAAGCTGGAGACTGAGTTTGCCAAGTTTATGGCAATGTTGAAGCAGCTCAACATCAACATACCGTTTGTGGAGGCACTATCGAAGATGCCCAAGTACGCAAATTTCATGAAAGATCTCCTCACCAACAAGAAGAAACTTGGAGATCTCTCGACAGTACTGCTGAGCGAGGAGTGTTCTGCTATCCTGCAGAACAAGCTGCCCGAAAAGCGCAAGGACCCAGGAACTATGGATGGTTCGAATGATGAAAACGCTCAATTTCGTGCAATCCTTCACGCGGAGAAAGGCTCGAAATAGATAGGTCGATGCTTGGCCACGATCAAGGGGTTGAATTGATCGATACAAGCTCACGATTGCCTAGAATCGTCCAAGCAATCCAACTCAATTCCTCACGCAACTAGCGAGATGAACCAAAGCTCAACTTTGTATTAAATTGATCGAAAAACTGACTATTACAATGAATCAACTACTCTTAAACAGACCTAGCAATTCCTAACAACGTTTGAATAAGTTCAATTACAATTCTACTTGGAAAAGGAAGCAAAACAAGACAAGGAAACCAACTAAGCTAAACTGTCGACTAATCCTAATCCGGCTAGGATTCGGATTACTTATTTTCCAAGCAGAATTTTCAGTCTCGAAGCGATCTTTAGCCCCCTCGTTCGAGCCCTTGTAGACATCACCTTGATCAGCCAATACCTTGTCGATAAACTAGGAGAAACCAGCTTTCATGTGGTGTGAATGTGGAGGCTCGACTCTTTCCCATCTTCCTTAACTCGAGCTTCAAAGATCCTTTCCCAACTCTGCTTTTATACTTAGAAAAATCTGGCAGTTCCTCCAGTGTTGAGCTAGCATTTTGATCACCTCGGAAACTCAGCCTCTCGACTTCTCCTTGAGCTCCAAAGCCTACTGATCGAAAGAGAAGCTCCTCTTCTTCAACACAAGCTAAAGAACTTGAGTTTCCATCGCACCAATTGAGAATTATGCTCGTCCAAAGTGGGTACCTGAAATCGTCACAAACACTTAGACAAAAATCAGTATTTTCCAATGTGTTTAGATTGCCTTCATGAACGATCAATTCCCATCGTTTTAATGGCCAAGTTGAGATCATATCACGGAAGGTCCCCATTTTAAATTTCCCAGGAAAGAAAGGTGGTGGAAGACTAGGCTTTGAAGTCATTATTGAGGGAAAAGAGTTTTCTAAGTTGTAGCGGTTTACTCCCAATTATTTGTAGTGGTTTTGCATAAGAAACTTTGTTTATTCTAATAATAGTGCTCACACAAATGTGTTAGTCTTTTCATGTTTTCCAATTGAACAAGGCTTGTAGTAGTAATTTTCGGCAACCAGATTGTGATATTACTTTGGGCAATGTAGTAGTGGTATTGGTAGTACTTCCAAAATGGTTGTCGTTGTGGACTTGTATTGGATACTAGTAGTGTTTTCGAAATAATAGTAGTGGAACTGGTAGTATTTTTGACGGCTAAGTAGTGGTAGTATTTTAATCAATGTAGTAGTAGTGGGTACTGGTAGTGTTTTCAAAATGATAGAAGGGATACTTGTAGTATTTTTGAAATTGTATCAATTGTATAAGTATTACTAGTAATATTTTTCAAAATTGTTGTCGATGTAGTAGTGTTTATTGAACAAAGAATCATTACTAAACTAGAACATAATCATACCTACATCTGTTATATAGACCACTAGGAGATCGGCTCAGAATGCAAACTGTTCCACCAAGACTATCACACCATCACCAAATCACTTCTTAAAACACAAAAAATAGTGAATTATTGAGGGAAAAGAGTTTTCTAAGTTGTAGCGGTTTACTCCCAGTTATATGTAGTGGTTGTGCGTAAGAAACTTTGTTTATTCTAATAATAGTGCTCACACAAATGTGTTAGTCTTTTCATGTTTTCCAATTAAACAAGGCTTGTAGTAGTAATTTTCGGCAACCAGATTGTGATATTACTTTGGGCAATGTAGTAGTGGTATTGGTAGTACTTCCAAAATGGTTGTCATTGTGGACTTGTAGTGGATACTGGTAGTGTTTTCGAAATAATAGTAGTGGAACTGGTAGTATTTTTGACAGCTAAGTAGTGGTAGTATTTTAGTCAATGTAGTAGTAGTGGGTACTGGCAGTGTTTTCAAAATGATAAAAGGGATACTGGTAGTATTTTTGAAATTTTATCAATTGTATAAGTATTACTAGTAATATGTTTCGAAATTATTGTCGATGTAGTAGTGTCGGAATTTACGGAAAAAAAAACAACTTGGTGATTTGATGTTTTTCCCGTGAACAGTTAGGGGCTTCATTGCAATCATCAATAACTATAAATTATTTGTACACTTTATTAGCTAATAATTAATTATAATTTTATTGTTATGAAACTAATGGAAAATATAAACAACTACAAGAGAAGATTAGAGAGGAAAGACACAAAAGAAGACCACTAGATTACATTACGCTATCTCATACTGTCTCGTTAAAAACCTTACCAGGAAAACCCAGTGGGAAAAACCATGGTGAAGGGAAAAAGAGTGTAGTGCGTATATGCTCCCCCTCATGACCACATCATTTCAAATCTTTGAGTCGTTGAACTCAAATTTCACGAACAACTTTTAGAAAGACTATTGTCAGGAGTTAGTTAGTGAACAATCTTCTAGATTGTCAATATGATGCATGATCTTTAGATTTTCTTCATACATGATCGTCAAGATCATTTCCTTTGGAAATAGTTCACAACCACAAGTCCTTTAGGTATGATGAACCACAAAGTGTAACAAAATACATTCAGGACTTGCCTACTATAGCTTGTTTTGTTTCTCTATGAAACACTGATATCATCATATGTAAGAGATAGCTCGTCTTCGATCAACCAATATGAGGATCAAATGGTATATAGAATTTGGATATATAGTTCACCAAATATCTCTTTGATAATACCATAATAGAACAATCACATATATTGTTCCTAAAGGTAACAAAGCATTTTCCAACGTTCCATGGAGGGAAACATTGTATCTTGCTAATATTATCAACACCAAAATGATAGTTTATATGGTGTTTGGCTAGCAATGTGCATTGGTGCTCTGATGCATCAACATATGGCACTTCAGGACCTACTACATCAGCATATAGTACTTCAGGACCTAATGTTTCACTTCTTTCTTGATGCCTAAATGGATCTTTGGTCACTTCTAGTGATCTTAGTATCCTAATGTTATTTGATGAACACAATTTGTTCATGCAAAATTATTTTTCCACTTTTTCAACATTACCTTCCTTGCTCATAAAAATGATCTTAAATCCTTCAATTTAACTTATGTTTCTAAGCAATCAACTTCTTTAGGAAACTCTTCAGGAGCTCCAATAATAGTCATATCATCAACATAATATGAGATCGTCACAAAAAAAAAAACTTAACTAAAACAAATTGAAGCAAGCAATTCTTTCATATCATGAAAGATATTAACAAAACACACATCATAGAAACATATGAACTAGACAAAGCACACTCATAAAACACAACTCATACTTTAAAGTAAATCACAACTCGTAAATCAAGAATTTAAAATTCTTGAAGCACATACAGACAACACAACTATATATGCACAATGCAAATGCTCTAATGACTCTATCTGGATTTAACCTTTTAAGGTCCATTCACCCTACTGTTGTAGGTGTTCACTTAGACGAGTATTTCACATTCGTCTATATTATCTCAACCCATACAAGGGATTTTCTTAGTCTATCGATATATGTTCTCGAGAACTTTACTTGTTTACTTCAGGTAAATTAATCCTTCTGGGAGTAATTATCCTTTTGGGAGTTTCAAATATATATAACATCTTTAGGGAATTCAAACAAATAGGCTATCACAAAAATTTTCAAACATTGATTTAGAAAAAGTAGTCGCATCCACCACAGGGGAGCATAACACCTCTCAAACAATGATAGGTCTCTTCGAGAAACCCATTGCAAAACATTATGTTATATCTAACACAATTTCATATTTTCCAATAGCACAAGAATTTTTTTGTATCCCACTAGTTTTACCCTTTTCAGGTGTAAGGACTTCTGGTCCTTAAACATTATGCTCCTTGAGCAAGTTTCATGATTTCTTTCTATACTGGCCAATAACATCATCATTTTCATGAAGCAATAGAGTTTTACTCTTGATCCTCACTTGTATATATAATATTCAGTACTGAAGTACAACAAATTTCGTCGACAATGACTTCATTTACTGTTCCAGTATTGTAGTCCAATATGTTTTTGAGATCTCTTAACTTTCACAACTTTCATACACATGTGTTCTTCTGGAACTAAAATCTTACTTTATTCTTGGTTACTCTTCTTGAGTTTTCATGTCCTCGAGTTGACCATTCTAATTATAGCTCCTTTTCTTTCTCGAGGATGCTTATCATTGGAACTGAATGGTCTATCACGCTTCATGCGCTCTTTCATACACATTTTTATATATTAGAGTATCCAACAAGGATATCAAATTTAGTTGGAGTATTCACATCTAGTATATGTGACTTGGTCACTTCGTATGGACAGTAAAGGCATTTGATAGTTGGTAACGATAATTCATCTTATGAACTTCAGGTTCATGTTTCTTCCTTTGAGGATCAAAACTAGACAATGGTAACTCATTCCAACTCATCTCTTTGCCTAGCTGATTTATCTCTCCTAGGACTTGAGCCAAGAATTTCTGGTCCTGGATATCTATATTCTTACTAAAACAACCGTCGATTTGACCAAATTGACACGCTGGCCACTGAGCTCTTCATATTCATTCAGCACAACAATTAGATTCTCACATTGTTGCAAATTCCCTCTGAGAAAGAGGTACGAGTCTTCCGCGAAAAACAAGTGAGAAATCCTCGGTGCCCAGGGAGCGACCTTAACCCTTCCAATTTGCCCTCAGAAATTTCCTTCCAGATGAGGGTTGCGGCCCTTCTGTGCACAAGGCAAACAAGAGGGAGAGAGTGGATCACCCTACCGGAGACCCCGAGTAGGCTGAAAGAAACCATGGGGCGTGCCATTCATGAAGATCGAGAACGATGAAGAGCGTAGGCACTCTTGTACCCATCCAATCCACGTATGAGAGAACCCCAACTTTGACAGAACCGCAAAGAGGAAAGGCCATTCAACCTTTAGAGCCATATAACCTTTCTTCCCGCGGTTTTTATATTTGAGGTAATGCATTAATTCATACCCCAGAAGCACATTATCCACAATTTGTCTTTCCCGGATGAATGCGTTTTGACCTTCAGAGATGACATTCGAGAGAATCTGTGCGAGTCGTTCAGTCATAATTTTAGTGATAATCTTGTACACAAACTGGCACAAACTTATCGGGAAAAGCTGTCGTACCGACTCCACATTATCAACCTTCGGGATCAAAGTGAGCCAAGTGTGATTAAAGCTTCGTAAAATCCTACTCGTTCGAAAGAACGAACATACAACTTCAACCACTGACCCTCCCACACTATCCCAAAAAGCTTTGAAAAACTTCCCAGTAAAGCCATCCGAGCCCGGATCCTGTTTAGAACCCACGGAGAAGACAGTGCGCTGAACTTCGTCTGGTAGAACATTAGCCGTTAGGTTTGCATTCATCTCAGCAGTCACCTTGAGCGGCAAAGGTAGAGCAGTCACTTGAGCATCCATGTCAAGGATCTGATTTTTGGACGTAAAGAGGTTTTGATAAAAATCGCAGGCAATATCCTCCTTGCCCTTTTCGTCCGTGATCCATTGACCCAAGTCATTCGTGAGGCCTGCCACAAATTTCCGCTTTCTCTTGATAAGAGTAATCGTATAAAAATAAGACGAATTCTGATTACCCTTTTTCAACCACCGCACCCTGGATTTCTGTTGCTAGTAAATCTCCTCTACTTCCCATTGAAGACTGAGTTTCGTTTCCAGAACCCGGACCTCATCCCAATCATTCGGCTCCAGAGACAGTACATAGGGGATCCATGAATCTCTTCCCGCCAAACATAATGCACCATAGCACGGACCTCCGGATTATCAGCCCAGAGCGCATCGAAGCGGAAGAGGGGTCGGCTTTTACGGGCATAAGCCTTATCTGCCAAGAGAATAGCTCTATGTTCAGAGCCTTGATCAGTGAAATGTTTGACAAGAGTATCCGGGAATCTATCAATCTACGCCTGAGAACAGAGGGCACGGTCCAGCCGCTCACGAATACAAGCTGAGCCCATCCTTTTATTCGTCCAGGTGAATTGATCCCCCAGATAACCCGGATCCTGGAGACCTAAGTCATGTACAAAATTAGCAAGGGCCAGCGCTTGACCCATATTCCAGGGGTTACCGCCATCCTTTTCTCCAACATGTAACGTTGTATTAAAATCATCAATAACGACAAAAGGCAAGTCAAAATCCATGCAAATGCCTTGCAACTGAGTCAGTTGGGCTTCTCTTATCGACTCATTACAACTAATGTAAACACATACCACAATATAAGAAAAATTCTCTTCATTACTCTGAACACAAATGAAAAAGTTCAAATGGGAAAACACCGAAGCATCCACTCCAGGGGACCAAGCTACTACTAGACCACCAGATGCATTAACAACATCTACAAAGCAACAATCCGAAGAAGAAAAACCTAAACCCCCCATACAACGGGAAACGATATGCCGGCACGACATTGTTTCCGAAAAGAAAACAAGTTCCGATTTATTCGAATGGATTAAACCTAAAGCAGTTTGGAATGTGAGGGATGGTCCAATTCCTCTCACATTCCAGGCCAGTAGCCTCATTTATCGGCCTGGGGCAATTTTCGGCTAGCTTCCTCCACCTGATTATGCTCCTGATCATCATTCTCTTCCACAAATTGCTTTTTGGCTATGGGGTCATCCTCCAGATCTCCACTCAGTTCCTACAATGATCTTTCCGCCCACCAATTCCGTGGACAGTAGCATTGGTCCCATACTCATCAAGCACGAGACTCGACTCATTTCCCATCTTGGTTCGCCATCTGCCCCGTCACCACATTAGCAGAACCCTTTCGGGCTTCGAACGCAAGGGAAACTTGCTGAACACGACCAGAATCCCAGGGCAATGAACCGGTCACTTCCTGGCGGGAACTACCCGGCCCCGAAATTGGTGCTCGGCTCTTAAGTTCAACTCGTCCGCATCCGATAGTGTGGCATCTGATTCGCCCATCACGTGGACATCCACCTGCTTTTCCTCCCACAAACGTACAACTTGGGAAGTGGGAGAGAGACTGTTAGACAACTCATTAGTCAAAACCAACTCCCATTTCTCAAAATCTGAGTCTTGCACCAACAGCTTCCCTTTCCCCTTTCGATCAGTTTTTCGTTTGACAGCTGCCTCACAAGCCTCTTCCTTCACAGCTCGATCACCACCCATCCGAGTTTGCAGTTGGCGGTTCGTCCTAGGGTGCAAGATAGCAGGAGGTGATAGTGGTAGAATTTCCCGAACCGGCGCTGGGTCGCGCAGACGGGTACCGCCCTTCCGAGCCATGCGATGCACATCATCACTTCTGGGCTCAACAGGTGGCTGGATATCCATATCTAACAAATCATCCTCCGAGTCATCTAACAGCAGCCTTCGGCGGTGGGAAGGGCCCTCCTTGCTCGGCCGCACCACCTTTTCCATCTTCGGATTAGTTTCCTTACGCGCCCATTTTCTTGGCTGCTTCTTAGCCTCTTCGGGGATCTCCCTGGCATCCATAGCTACTTCATTGGTCACCAAGTCATTCGTGCGGGACTGACTCCGCTGCTCTCCAAGGACCAACCCATTCCCACGATTGCCAGCGCGCCGCAGACGTCGATTGGGACGGACGAAAGGGGATTTGGTTACAAAGAAGACTTTAGGACTTTGATTCGCGCCCAAGAGATTCAAATTTTTGGCAGCATCCACTTGAGGGGCACGAGACCACGTCTCGTCCTGTTGAAGGCGGCACGAAGCAGTCCGCTCTGGGGCAGCAAATCGCGTATCCGCATCTCCAAGCATATGCTGTGTCAAGTCTCCTGCCTTCTCCTTCGGTGCCCGAAGGTCCTTGTTAACCCAGACAGTGCGCGGGTTATCCCAAAAAGGAGGCATGTCCTCCTTAGCATCATAGAATCGGGTGCCCAACCTCTTCGTGGACATGTGCGGGCCGAAGCGCTCTTTCCTTGTCGGTGCCTCAAAGGAGCATTCCCCACGCAAGTGACCGACTCTCCCGCAATAAAAACAAAAGCTCGGGAGGTGCTCATATTTCAGAGTGACCCAAAAGCAACCTGTTTCCTCTTTGGGCGCCATCAGCTGCGAACACAATGGCTTGGTGAAATCAATCATGGTTCGCACCTTCACGAAACATTTGTCTGATTCTTGACACATAAACACCCCAGCATCAAGAACCCGACCCAATTGTCTCGCTTACAAGTTTTCTCCCAAATTGAGGAGTGCAATAATCTTCATTGATATCGCAAAGCTGCACCCAAAAGGGAACAATAGCCAAATCATCATAATTTTTTTTGTTAATGATCGGCGTCCAAGCACGGAGGTGCAGGATTTTATCCCTGATTACCCATGGCGAGCGATTTAGCACCCAATTTTTTGAAGCTTCATTGGGAAGGACGAATCCATACAACCCTTGGTTAGCTTCCAATACACGAATCCGACCCTTTCCCTGCCAAGGTGCATTCACCCCATCTCGCAGCTCCATCGTAGTCATTCTGATGCTAGAGAAAACTCTCCCAAGCACTGATCGAGTGCCTCGATTTTTTGCAGCATGTACTTCCTCAAGGGAGAAGCTTACCACTTTTTCATCAGCAACACGCATCCTAGCACGATCCTGCAAATAAGAAACAAGATTAGATGGCATGCTGCCAGCCATTTCGTCCATGATATCCTCCTTAGTCCTCCCCAGAATCGGGAAGGTAAGGGTACGCAGGATTAGAGAGCAGCGAGATAATCGCATGAGCACAGGGGAGCGAGAGCAAAACGGGGTCGAGAACACAAGACCAGTTTGTCGCTTACCATAGGAATCTCCTCGGGAAGATCTGCATTATTCAATGTTGCCACCCAACACGAGCTTCGTCGAGATTTTGTTTTTGTGTGAGGAAGGGTTCGACGCAATGGTAATAAATAGGCAAACGGGAGGGATCGTCCAAGAGTAGAATTCCCAACTTGGTATAACACAGTCCGAGTTTGAGTGGAAGTGAGATTCTCTGTTTCAATTTTGGTAAGAGAAAAAACCCACTGCCAGGACGTAATCTCCTGGACCAACGGAAAATCCCTATCACAGGGTGTATCAACCCGCCAGATTCTAGACGAATTTTTTGGTACGTCAATTTTTGGAGCCATCGGCGGCGATTACCCTTGCCGAGACTCTGATGGCTGCAAACCCAGAATCGCACGAACGGGGAGCCTTTCTGGTTGGGATTCTCGCCCTCCATAGGCCAGATCCACTGACGTAGCACTTGTGGTGCTATCCAAATCCCTGCCGACGACGGTTTCCGGGAGTAAGATTTCATCCACGTCTCCGATCACCTCCAAATCGTCCGGCAGGGGAAGCGAAAATCGTCACGAAGCCTTCTTTGAAACTCGAGTCTTTTTTGGTCGAGGCATAACATACACCGGGCAAGAGCCGGACCTTCATTTTCTAGTCACAGCATTCGCATCTGCTATCCAAGAAACCCCCTTTCCAATCTGCCCAATCGAACAGATCTTTTTGCTCTTCTTCTGGGGATTCCGCTTCGACCGCCACTTGGGCTGCTAGGAGCCTGTTGGGACTTCCATTGACAGCGCCAGCGCTGATTATTCAGGCTAACGCGGAGGATTTCTACCACCGAATTCACCAGGATTTTCCCGACGAAGCAGTAGAGCACGAGAAGAGAGGAGAGAGCTCCTCGCATTTTTTTAAAGAGATACAACCGACGCTTATTTTGAGGGATAAAAAAAAGTCTGGCTCTTCAATCGGGTAAATGCCACATTTGGTCACTAAGATTACTAAATCGTGTCACGTTTAGTCACTAGAAAAAATTGAATATCAATTTTGGTTATAATCAAATTCGTAGTCCTTCAAATGTTATGCGAAATCAAAAAAAGTTTCATGACATTCGGAATGCAGAGCACAAAGTTATGGTCTTCCAAAGTTTGTCAAAATCGAAAAATTGCTCGTTGGGGGTAGCAAACGAATTTTTTTTTGGGATGAAGGCTTGTTTCAGATTGAAAGATCTTGAAAAGTTATGTGGAATCAAAAACAATTCGCTACAATCGGATAACCTAGCGCAAAGTTACGTTTGTTTGAAGTTTCAGTGTTACGTCAGCGGAATGCATTCGTCTTCCGTGGTGAATGCATTCACTGCAGTTGACAACCGCAGCGATGCCCAAACATGTGTATTTTGAGAATTTTTTTTCATTTAATGGGTAGTTGTGATGAACTGATGATGATGGTCGAATAGGTGTGCGGCACAAAGAAATTGAAGTTTTTATTCATTTATTTGATCAAAATTTCAATAGAACTTTATCATCAATTATATAAATTTTCGGGGTTCAATCAAAACCTCTACGAAATAAAGGTATCATACAAGAAAATATAATGATAATCATTGTTGGGGACTTCATAGCACATATAATTATTTAAAGGGTGCAATTTTTAATATAATTCTTAATAAATAATTTATTTTAATACAATTAATAAATGCCGTTAGATTAGATCAACGGTGGAAAGTCCTGAAGCTTGCTATGCGCCTGTAGCATACGATTCGTATCCATATATATATATATTACCATATATATATGGCGAGTTCTAGGTACCCAGGGTGAAATTCGGGTTACCGCATACCTTGAGTATGAAAACGCTATTCAGACCTTGAATTGACTGATCTTTCAAACATGATATTATACTATAACCCTTAAAGATCAAAATCTAGGTCTTAATTCTCTAATTCTTATACGCCGAGATCAAAGCAGTCAAAATCAGGATTTTACCTAAAATTGAAAACTAGGGTAAAATCGGAATCGTATAATCGAATCGTAGAATCGTCGGATTTTAAGTATCACATAAAAATTAACATATAATAATATTAATAAGATAAATCATTAATAACACAAAGACCTATAACATTTAAAATGATAATTTTCAAGATTCATGTTCCAAAATTATCATTTTAATTGTTATTTAATGCGTAACTCAAAATAATTTATGAGGAAGGGATAGAGCTCATGGGGTTTGGCTCTTGTTTTTCATGTTATGTCTAGGTAGTTTAACTCAAAGTAGTATTCCGACATCGTCTACTAAGCATGATTTAAAACTAAGAATAAGTGAACTCCAATAAGAATTTTAATGTAATTGGTTTGGTACATATATATTCATTAATCAATTAATTTGTTAATAATTATGTTAATTCTTTCGTACGTACAATATTATGACAATTATTTTACTGATGAGTTAAACAAGGGGAAGGAAAAGTGATTGACTGAACCCTAATTAGGTTATTTTTTCCTTTTCAAATGTTCTTTTAATAGGAAAAATATCTGAGAAGATCCCCGTCATTGCTCTTTCCCCCAAAACAGTTCTATTTCTTTTGAATTGGCTCAAATTGCCTATTTTGTTCACATAGGATCAAAATCTCGATTTTGCTACGATTTTAATCCCGATTTTGAACGATTTTAAGGTCCACCGATTTTATATTAAAATCAGGATCGGAATCCCTAAGTAAAATCCTACGATTTTACGATCAAAATCCCGATTTTGACTGCATTGGCCGAGATAATAATCTCATGATTCATTTTATAAATAAATATTTTATAAGTAGAAGCAGAACAAACAAAGGTCTACAAAAAATTAGTGGGTAGCCGGGATTCAATCTGGGCCCCACTCCCTTGGCTATAGCAAAACTAAGTCTTATATATATATATATGGTTCAGGCTAGCGTACACCTGGTATACGGTGTACGCCTGCGTTCACACCTATAAATTAATTATTAATTATTTATAATTTAATTATAATTAAAATAATTATTAATAATAAATACAATTACAATCATATCCATTCATTAATTGTTGTTTACGTTTTAGTCCCATATCAATTTTTATGATACATTCCACCGAAATCAATCATTTAACTAATAGTCCTCTAAACTATAGTACTTCTTTTACCAAATTATAAATCTAAACCACCCAAACTTCATAATTATCTACAACTTCACTGCTCCTGTCATTACAATTCATCATCTTGTCGTTTTGTCCTCATTTATCTCTTCCACTTCGTCTTCTTCATCATAAGTGAGAGGCTGTTTGTATCCTCCTTTCTCCTTCTCGATCCTCCTATCCCTTATCTCTCCCCCAATTCAGGTCGACTCTACCACTGAACAAACACACCCCTTCTCAAGTCAGACCCCAATCCTCTGTAATTTTTAGGGTTTCTCATCTCTCCAGTTTGAATCTCATCCGCAGCGTTCGATTGATCGATTGAGGCGGATGAACCGCAGTTCTCATGTTCCTTATCTCCCCCAAATCAAATCGATCTAAACCCTAAGAAAAGTTCACACTCACTTCGCTCATCCCCTGAGCCCCCTTTCTTGTTTTGCCTGTTGCATTGAGCATTAGACTACGCCAACATCCCCTTTCCCTCCTGCCCACGAAGCTCTCCATCACCGACGGCCTCCACTCTTGGGTCTCCCACGGTAAACCTATATATCCCCTTCTCCTAGTTTTCTTCTTCGACTCATATTGACTCTCGTGTTTGAATCTCTCTGTTCCGTTTCTCCAGTTTTTTTTTTATTATCATCCGAGCTTTTGCTTCAAATTTGGCAGCTAGGGAAGAGGATGTGAGAGATAGAGTGGCGTAGTGGGTCAGCCAGTTTCCGAGTATATCCAATTGGCGGAGATGCACCTGGGGTTTCAAATCCATGGCTCGGTCTAGAGGTCCGACGATGCCGGCGATGGCTGCAAACGAGTTAGTGATTCGCTTTTTCTATAATTTTTGTCCCGTTTGGAACTGTGTTCAATTTGGTTTGCTTTTGGATTCGATTTACCCCTTATGTGAATCAAACTTCATTATAAGTTAGGAAGATTGAAGGGATTGTATGAAGGGTTTGGTTTCGTTCTATCTAGCTTTGGGGCTGCCATAGGTCTTTGAAATGGTGAGCTTAGTTGTTCCTGGCTCTTCTTGTTGGTTAGTACCTAGTGAATAATTCAGTTACTGCAATGTCGCGGGTGGCCTGATTTTGGCTTGAAAGAATCATAGGGAAGCATGAGAATGGTAGTAGTGATTGACCAACTTTCTCCCATTAGAGTTGAGGCACACACTTGACTTGAGTTTAGTCGACAACACTTGGCTGCTTGTTGCTCTTAGCTCGTGGTTGTTTCATTCTCGCGATGACTCTTGCTGATTTTGCTTGTTAGGTATAGGTTCCATAGTATAACTAATTCCATCGTTTGTGGTCCAGTTCCTTGCAGTTCTGAATTCGAACAAGCGGAAAATTAGGGAGCTTCGAGATCAACTCTCCAAGAAAGAAACTTCGAAAAAGCAGCCAACACAAGAAGTAGAAGAAAATTGTGATGAAGAGGATTATGAGGAGGAAGAAGAGAAAGGAGAATAGCGATCCCGGGAAGATCGAGATGTACTCTCCGGCTTTCTATGCCTCCTGTATCGTCGGCGATATCCTCAGTTGCGGTGTCACTGACATGGCCGTCACTCTTCTTGAAATCGTCAAGTGAGATATGCAGGTAACGTTTGCTCAGATCTTGTAGCGTTTGTTCTTCATTTCTGGATTTCAGATCCTTGTTTGGCTGCATGTTGCTCTTAGCTCGTGGTTGTTTCATTCTCGCGATTCGTCTCTTGCTGATTTTGCTTGTTAGGTGTGATAAGTACTTTAGAATGTTGAGTATGAAGGGTGTTAGCAAAAGCTCAGCTGTTCCCATGTTGGTAGTGGCTACTTTAGTTCCATGCTAATGCTTTCACTCTGATTTCGCTTAATGAAGAGTTATGATTATTCCTCAGTCACCTCTAACCGTTGGAAAATTTGATCATTTGAAAGGCTTAAGGACTTGCTGTCCTAATGCTTCAATTATCAGGGTTTAGTTGGTGAAGGAAAAGTTTGTGAAATGCAGAATCATATATGTCACATAGTTTTGTTTTGGCTAGCTACAACAGGGAGTTAAGCTGAGTTGTATGGCATGTCATTTTGTGTTCTGTTTCAGCTCTCCTCTTGAAATGGGTAGTCATGCTTTAGGTCTATGTGTTTTTCATTCTCTCTAGTTGGAATAGAGTGAGAGTTGGCTTGTTTTTGAAGGTATAAGAAAATTGAAGTCCGATGGAAGTGAGTTGGTCTGTTTCTTGATTTCTTAAGCTTATATTTGTTGGTACTCATGAGTCTTATCTCAGTCCTCATTAAGTATAATGATCAACTTTGTAACAGGAGAGTGCATGATCAACAGTTAATCATTTTCACTAGCTTATCAGTAATGCTTGGCTTCCTCTATGATTTCAAAACCTCTAGTTAGTTTATTATTTCTTTCAAAACCTCTGGTCATATTCTCTTTGCTAAAATACTTGTAATTCTTATTAGCTATTGTTCTGTGTGACTTTCACGAGCAGGAAGTGCATGACTACTTGAAGAGTTTGTGCCCTGATTTGCATATCACTAGAGGTGAATATGATGAAGACTCTCGCAATCCAGAGACTAAGACACTAACCATTGGCCAATTCAAGCTTGGAATATGCCATGGCCATCAGGTTCGCTCTCTACAGCTGTTGCATAATTGCACTTCATTTATTAGCTGATATTTCTCAATTTGACAAGGGAAGGCTAGGGAAGGTAGGATCTAAGAGGGTACTAACAATGATGAACCAATTTCATAGCTGTGTGGTGCTGCTCCAGATAGGATTAGCCGTACATTTCCTCCCAACCCTTGCTTTACCTGTGAGGAAGAGCCACCAGAGTTAAACACCATAACAGTATTTCTCAATTTGACAACATAATTAGACTGACTTAAGAGTTAAGACCAAGCATCATGATTACCTTGCTGAAGACGAGCTTGTCACTGAGTGGAGATGCCTCGTCTGTCTTACTCCCGCCTTTCAAAATACTCAGTTTGCTGAAGCGAGAGTGAGATCACCAGTTAGTCAAGAAACAGGAACCTGAATCGCAAGCAAGAATTATGAAATATCCCGTTTTTTTGTTCAAGTTGAGCTCACAAGGACATGCCAATGCTTAAATGTAAAATGAAAGCTGGAGATGAAAGACCAGACTAGAATACCAAAACAAGTAAACAACACTTACTGGGAGTACGCAAAATTGAACAACGTCTTCTTCAAGAAGCCCCCAGCAGAGATCTTCTGAGTTAAGCCTTGAAAAATGAGAAAACAAAATACTGTGAATTTGGAGATAAGCAAGATTGTCTATGGGGGCTCTCTTGACCTATGTATTTGTTATTATTTCAATGCTCCAACATAATCTCACAAGAGGAAATGAAATATATATATACAACCACAGGAAAGGTCGTTCCTCCACTCAGACTTGTTGTTTGCGTTGCTTATGATTGGGGTTTTTTTTTTCTTTTCCTTATTGTAGCTCCCTGCACTTTTCACGCCAGGAAAGAATGATTAAAGTATTTCAGTTTTATATATCACAATTATGAAGACTAGGAGACTTAATAAGAAAAGGGATTTTGATTCCCACCCACGAGTTTTGATAAGAAGTATTTGACCTTCTAGGAAGCTTATTAGTTTATTTAATTTTATTTCTAATAAATACAAATCACAACAAAAAGATTTTGTAACAGTCCCCTTCCTTCATCAGAACTCTAAACACGTTTTTCCTATATAAGCTACTCATCCGAGTGGAATAATCTTCGTATTTTCGGGAAGAAAACAAAAGAAGGAAGATCGGTGTCATGGAAGGGTTAGTTTGAGTTGTTTTCCGATGCCTTTGTTCCTGAGTCTTATGGCCCCTGCTGAAGCTTCATTTTTTTAATGTTGTTTTCAGGTTAGACAAGACAGCAGCCGAATCAAATGAGGTGAAGTTTCGAAATTCGTACAATGTCCTGCATTCCTTTTTTTTGTTATTTTTTATTTGGGGTACCTAAATTCCTGGGTTTTTGTTATGCAGATCAGGAGCCTGCATTTGTTTATGACTGACTTGGAAAAAGGTCAGCTATCTATGAAAAGGGAGTTGAAGGGTGATATTAACGACTTGAGGACAACAGTGCAGTCGTTTAGGACCTGTTGATTGTGAGGTTCGGTGGGAACTCTGAAAATGGCAGAAAGGAGAAGAATGACGATAAAGTCGAAGTTGTGAACTTAAGCTCGGATAGCTCATTTTCCTTGGCAACAAGGAGTAAACATGAGACGAAAAGCACAACCAGCAGGAGAAAGGTACCCCTAGTCACACTTTTGTTTTTTGTGTTTATGTGATATCAGTGTTTTAATACATATGTTAAATGATAGGGGAAAGCGGTTAGAAAGTCTCCAATTAGGTTGCGGAGTCCTATTTGGACCCGGAAAGATCCCGAGAGGACTAATGCCAAAATAAAGGTGAACGACCCCTTCATCACTACAAAGTCGCTATAAAAAAGGGATCAGTGGTTGATCAGCCACATTTTTTATCCATTCAAGGATGAAAGGTATTAAAAAAAATTGTGTTACATTGTTATTAATTGAGCATAATTCATTTTCTGCAAGTTAAAAGCACTCAAAAATGATTTGTATTGTCTGTTGTTGGTTGTAGTGAGGCGCTGGTTAGATCTCCATGGTTTCATCTAACCCGTGGAGAGTTTAAGGTATTAGTGCCGGAAATACCATTGTCTACTCAGGTTCGTATACAACTTATCTTGATTCTTGAATTTATAAATGGCTTAGTAAAGGAGCAAAGTTGTGTAACATGATATGTGTTTTGACACTGTTTATTTGTGTAGGTGATCACTATGTGCGTTGACTTGTTAACGGTGCCGGAGTTGGAAAATGAAAAACCTATGAATTGGTTCTTACCACCGGCATTTGCTGTAAGTTCATAAGTTGTATTTGGTATTATTTTGCATATCTTTAAAAGTAGTAATTGGATATATTTCAAACTCTACTGTATGCTAAAAGTTATTTTTGGTTATAAGAGTCTTCATTATGAATGATTGTATAGGGTTGTTAAAATCTGTTGAACTTTAGGCCATAATTTTTGTGCTGTTATTAGAAAATATCGGCTAGTTACTTAAATTTGTTGTCTGTCATTAAAAAAACTTGAACTTTAGGCCATAATTTTTGTGCTGTTTTTTTTTCAGTGTGAATTTCTTGTCATGAGTGGAACCTGAAACTGGAATCATATATGTTGTCATTCTTGTGATGAATTATGGATTGAAAAGTTCTAGCGCCACCCAATCCTAGATGTGTTGCCCATTTTTCTTGAAATTCCAGAAACCAAATTTTTAGGTTTCCTTGTAAAAGTTGTATGGCTGCTTCTGTGCAATAAACTCATACCACACTAGTGTATTTTCAGCACTTCTGTTCGAGAGGTGACATTGACATTATGAACCTGACTGGTTAGCAAGTAAAAAATGGAACCTTATCTAGGTATCCATAAAAAGTGAATCGATTGTGTAACTATTACGATATAATATGACTATTCTTGTAGGTGGCCTGTGCAACCGGAGATCGCGTTTTTGCTTACCCTGAGAAAAGAATTAAAACAGTGTACTGCTGACACGCCAACACACAACACCAATCTGCGACCAAGTGTAATCGCAGACCGGGAATGCAGTAACAGGCAAGTTATATTATCAACCCGGGGTCTAGATCTACTGCTTACTCAGTGATTCTCTGTTATCTAGCCAACTAGAGTAAGTGATTGTTGTTTAAACTAAAAGCAGAAATAAAGCAGGAAATTATTCGGTTTTCTTAAGCAGGAAAGAGTCACTCGGGAATGAATCCCCCTAGCTCTTTAGTTAGGTTTCAATTGCAATTTACCCTGGGTTGATTTACTGTTGATTAGACTGCGGAAGATCCGACAGTAGCTTGGAATCTCTTAAGCTGACCAAGCCCTCTCAGTCTAACTACCTGGCAGACGACTAGTCTTCACCGGGATAGAAAGCTGAGGCTATGAACACAGAACTCCACTACTGGCGCCAAGAACACCAGTACAAAGCAGTAAACTGGCTAACTCTCGTATAGCCAACCTCCTACTATCGAATGAAGAGGCTCTAACAACCTAATCAGATTCTATCTATCTCAGGTTGAAGCAGAAATTGAGACAAGCTGATCAGACTCAAATCAATTCATGAAACATGCATCATTCGATTAAAATCAAACAGTAGTATCATCCCAAGTCATTACAATCAATCCCCTAACACATAGAACTAGGGTTCTTCATCCCCAAGTGAGAGAAGGGTTCTACTCCATAGAGAGAGAAGAGAAAACAAGAATCGGATTAGTCATACTCATAACGATGAGGATAATCTGCTCCGGGACGATGATTTTCACTCCTATGACGATTTCCAGGCTCGATTCGATGAAATCCAGCTCTAAGACAGCTTCTAGGATGTGTTCTTCGTACTTTCTCTCTCTAGGGCTCTGTTTTTGCTCTGAAAACACTGTTCTCTCACTTCTGGCTCGGATTAGGCTTTAAAACCGGGTTTTCCCGAGTTGCACAGCCAGGGTGCACGGCCGTGCACCTCACCATTCTGGCCGTGCACCATGAAACGCAGCGTATCCCTTAATTGAACTCAGACTTCTTGCACGGCCAGGTGCACGGCCGTGCAATCTTCAGGGCCTGCCCGTGCAGCTCCTCGGCATGAGGCGCACGGCTAGATTGCAACCGTGCACGGCCGTGCAGCCCCTCTGGTCTGCCCGTGCAGCTCCCAAAAACCTCGCCATTCGTCCGTTCTTCGTCCAATCGACCCCAGAATCGCTCCTAAGCCTTCATTCACGTACTAGGACCTGAAATATGACAAACAAGCACAACCTAGCGTGAAATCGGCCTAAAACACGAGAAATCACATCTCAAACGGTGTAAGAACAGGGGTAAAAACATGTGTAAATAACGGTCTATCAAACTCCCCCACACTTAACCGTTTGCTTGTCCCCAAGCAAACCAAGTCAGACACTAGGTAAGCCTACACATTTCAATCAACCAACATTGGGGACAAGTCATAAAGGCACAGAACACGTGAATCGCACTGGTTTTCAAACATCAATACATGCACAACCTCAATAACAACCTGGACAACCACCACAAAGGACATTCGAGTGCAGCAAATCGAGTAAAGGAAGAGCCTCCCTTCTGTTCACTGGCCAACCTAGACTTGATTCAACCACTTACTCAAAACAGTCAACTCATGCATCCAACTCAAGACATCAGAATAGAGACCGAGCAATCTAGGTCCTCACCGGGGTACAAGAGCATATAGAAAATGAAAATGAATCACTCACTCTCGACCAGTGGGGTCAGGACAATTTGATGCGAAAGATGCGCATGCTATTTCTCTCAATCCCTATCATCTCTTCACCATGATGGCAGCCTCTAAATGCTAGAGTTCACATATGGGGTGTCACCACTAACTAATCAGGAGGTCTTAGACACAGGTTCAAATGACTGGCTAGGGTCTTGGACATGGGGAAAAGGCCTTTTAGGTGGTGGAAGTATTCATAGCAAAAGGTTCCACATTTCCCGAACACACAAACACAGTCAGCAACCCGGTATTTTCTTTCTGCTATTCTGCATTACTCAATATCTTAAGAACACAAGAACGAAGGAGGCATAAACATCAGCATTTCCAAGCCAGACTGCTAAGAAACACTACTTACGGGGCATTATTCAGATTTTTGGTAGTGGCTCTCTTTTACTTTCAATTTTTTTCTTTGTTTCACTTTCATTTTTCTTTTCATTTCTTAAGAGAGCCACCACTCCTGCACATATTTCAAACATCCGCCCAACTTTTAAGCACTACCTCCAACACTCACATAGACTTTAGCAGAAACAGCAGAGAATATATAAAAACCACTCTGTGGAACCTTCTAAAAGATGCAACAAGGGTGATTTCTTTTCATTATAGACCAAAAGAAAGGATAACACACGGCTCAAAGGGGCTGACTAGGGGATATGACACATCAGGACAGTCAGTTTTGGGCGTGGGCTAATCCTATGCCCCCATCATCTTAGCTAGTGACAACGTAAATGCTACACATCATGGAAGAGGGATCTATCGCACAAGAAAGAAACGAGCAGGCTCAAATCTCACATGGCTACCTATATGCTCTATCTCATATTCTGCTACCCTGAACTAGATGCATAAGAGACTGTCAAGAACAAGTAATCAATTCAAGTCACAGTTGGTAAGCAAACAGTTGAAAAACTGAACCCCTACATCGTTCTACTGCACATCTCAGTCCTCATCATAGGTTGTCCTAGTCGCAAACAAGTTGTCATGCATTAATCCGAAAACCAATCAATTCATCCATCAAAACACAGTGCCAATATGATCAAACAGCAGTACTTGGAGCCCTCAAATCGTAAGATTCGGACAGCGGACTAGGCTCCAAGCACCATCATAAATATTCCAACCGATACAAAGCATCCCCCCACACTTAAGAACGACATTGCCCTCAATGGAGCATAGGGAAAGATAAGGGGAACGATGTTACCGGGTAGGAACACTGCTGGGGGACTGGAAGTGGACCAGTCGGCGAGAAACGAACGGGAGAGTGGACAATGCTGCACAAATCGAACATCAGAACCACACTAGCACACTGTGCGTTAGGGATAAGTGTTAGCCCAGACGGCTACATCAAACCACAAAGGAAAAACCAAAAACAAAAACAAACGACACTAAGTTCAAGCTCCGCACACATGGAGCAAACACACAAAAGTCTAAAATGAAAAAGAAAACACACTGAGACGGGCTACGAGTACAGACTACTCGTCACCAAGATCGTCGAGGTCGATGTCGTTCATGAACGCGTCATCATCCGCAGCGCCAGTAGCACCGTCATGTGGAGGGGAGTCATCCCATGGAGTCCTCCAGACAGGTGGCTCGCCCGGGAGCAGCTGGAGCAAGTGCTGCTGGACATCCTGCATGCGCCGGGAACGGCGCTTCTCCCGCTCGATGTGGGCAAGAGTCACGCCCTGCTGGGTCTGGAGCTGGTCCAATCTCTCGTCGTAACTCGCCATCCTCTGGTGGTACGCGGCCTGGTGAGCCGCGTACTGCTGCTGGAACTGCAGCTGATGGTCGATGATCTGCTGGTTCTGGAGACGCAGCTGCTCGAACTGGGAAGTGAAGTAATCCTGCCCCGGGAAACTGGAGCTGCTACCCCCGAAATGGAAGTCAGTTTGTGGGGGATTATCAGCAGCATCAGCAGCAGCATCCACCTCCTCGGGATCCACCTCATCGGCAGCCTCCTCCTCCTCTGGTACGGGCTCCGCGGGGATCGGAGGCTCCGGAAACCCATCGACCCATTGAACACCGTTCCTCTCCCGCAACAGCAGCATCTTCCCGATCGTCGTGCGGCCAAAGATGAGGGTGTCCCCCTCCTCGGTGCACCCCTGCAGTGAAAGGCCAAAGAAGGTGGCCAGGCGGGTGATGAGGGGGGCGCAGTGGAGGCTCTTCAGCTCTGTGGCCGTCTTCTCGAAGGTCTTGGCCACCACTGAACCCAGGTGGAGAGGATGGCGGCGCTGGCGGATCGAATGGAGGAAGTACAGGGACCTCTTCGTGATGGCGCCGGCGCTGTCAGCTGCAGGAGTGTAAGACTTCGCCAGCAGGTGGTGGAGAAGTCTGTTGTCGATCTGCAGGGTAGAGGCCTTCGTCCTCCCTGACCGGAAGGGACGCGTCTGGCCTGGCCGAGCCAGGCTGGTGTACAGCCTCCCGAAGTCCACCGCCGGTGGCTCATTCACCTCGGTGACGTAGTCCTCACGGTCGTCGAGGTCGAGGTCGAGAGCCTCGGCCAGCTCGTGGTAGCTCAAGGACCGGGGGACTCCGCCCAGCCTGAATTGGACGGCCGTACCATCCTGCCAGTTGTCCGTGGTATTGTGCTTGAAGGTCGTGTAGAACTCCCACACCGGCTCGTAGTAGACCTTCTCGTAGAGCTGGAGCAGACGGCGCCAGGCGGTGTTGGCGACCGCGGCGGAGAGCTGCTCGTAGCAGTGCAATCGCCGAAACTCCCGTTTGGACCAGCAATGGTGTGACCCAAACGGGGTTTCCGCGACCTCCTTGAAGCGCTCTGCGGTGGGTCCCCTCCTCAGATCCCGGATGAACGGGTGCTGGAAATTAGGTTTCGCCATTGCCCTGCAAAACAACAACCCAAAGTGGAACCCAAAAGAGCCAAAGAAAAAGGTCAAGCGCACCCCCACACTTAAGAACAGAAAACAGCCTAACCATGGTTTCATCCATAGTTCGGGGGTCAAAATCTCGATAAATCAAGCAGAATCAGGGTGGGGGTGCACATTCACAAGAAAATAGGCAACTCAAGGTTCACATCCATAGCAAATACACCCTCAAACTACATCATTAAGGGCCCCAACCGGTGGCCACAACAGGGCATGGAAAACAGGCATTTCAGCGAACACCTTGTGTGCACTACTAAGTTAAACATGAAATTGGCCAAATTCTTGCACACAAGGGCCTAAACAATCAAAGGGGACTTTGCCCAACATAATTCAATCACATCCCATGCATTCCCCTCAATCAATTTCATAAGATTCACATGATTCAATAAGGTTCTCTAACATACACCCTACACACTCAATTCTCCACAATTAACATAGTTAGGGGCAAAATCAAACCTGGAGACTCAAGTAGAGGTGTAGGGAATGATGAGGGGAAGACAATGGAAGTGACGAAATGCCGAAAAACTGGCCGGAAATGCTCGTCGGAGTCTCGCCGGAGTCTCGCCGGAAATCGCCTCCGGCGACGAAAACGTCGCCCAAACTCGCTCAAAATCGAGGGATAGGCCGCTTTGGGTGTAGAAAGAGTGGGTTTGTAGTTGGTTTGGTGAAAAAATTACCCAAAGTGGCCGAAAAAATCGAAAAAAGGTGGGTTTTGCGCGGTTTTCTGGCGAGGGCAGAGGATTCCGGCGAGTGTTTTTGGTTTTGCTGACCACAATGGCCGTGCAGGCCATATAAATAGGCCGTGCCTCGTCTGCACGGGCAGGGGCGCACGGCCGTGCAAGGCTGGTTTTTGCCCGTGCAGACGACACGGCCTGGCCGAGGAGGGGCGCACGACCGTGCACCTGGCACATATGGCCGTGCCATCCTTACCGAGAGCTCGCACGGCCAAGGGGGGATACCCGCACGGCCATGCGAGGCATTATGGTGCCTGTGCAAGACGCACGGTCAGGCCAGGACGGGCGCACGGCCGTGCAATAAGCGATTTTGGCCGTGCGCTTTTGGCCGAGAGCTCGCACGGCCAAGGGGGGTGCCCGCACGGCCGTGCAAGTTGTGGTCCTGGCCGTGCGACTTGTTGGAGTCCCGAAATCAACCTGTTTTCGCTCAAAAACGACACGTAACTCTGGATCAACGTCTCAAGACTCAAAAACACACAAAATCAAAGGGAAAAGAGTAAGAAAATGCAAACCTCGGTGGGGTTGCCTCCCCACAAGCGCTTCTTTACCGTCTTTTAGCTGGACGCCAGTATGGATGCTCAGGGAAGTGTAGGATCAGGTGCCTTCAAGAGCGGATCCACATCGCTCTTGAGGTACAGCTTCAAATGGTGGCCATGCACGCGACGAATGTGGCCACCTGCATTCGCCAGCTCAACTTGGCCATCCGGTAGGATGCAAGCGAGTGAATACTCGGATGGCCAAGGAGGGGGCGGGACCAGCTCATAGTGGTCTCCGGCTTCCTTTCGAGCAGGCTTAGCTGCCGGCAGTTTCGGCCGCCACTTCTCCTTGATCTGTTCTTTGGGTGACGGAGTGGTCCGGAGTGGCGGCGAAGGTGTGGGAGGCGGTTCCTGCAAAATAGGCAGCACAGAAGGATACACGACAGACTCGTGCTCCTGGTGAGATACAGCATGCAGAGGTGATGAATCAGGTATATTATCAGCAACAGAAAACGTTATTCGCTCCTCGCCATCCCTCAAAACTAAGGTCCCATCATGCACATCTATGAGAGCCTTGGCGGTGGCCAGGAAAGGCCTTCCCAGTATAAGAGGCACTTCTGTGTCCTCACTGATGTCCAAGATAACAAAATCCACGGGATATGTGAATTTGCCAACCTTGACCAGAAGGTCTTCCACTATACCCCTAGGATGCACTACAGATCTGTCAGCTAATTGAAGGGTCATCCTAGTAGCACGGGGTTCACCTAGGCCTAGTTTCATGAACAATTTATATGGAATAACATTGATACTAGCACCTAAATCCGCCAAGGACTTCTCTACATGCAATTTATCAATAGAGCACGGGATAGTAAAACTACCTGGGTCCTTCTTCTTCTGCGGAAGCTTGTTTTGCAGAATAGCCGAGCATTCCTCGCTGAGCTCTACCGTGGCCAGCTCACTCAGCTTCTGCTTCTTTGAGAGAAGCTCTTTCAGAAACTTCGCATACTTTGGCATTTGCGATAGTGCCTCCAGGAAGGGCACTTGGACATTCAGCTTCTTAAGCATGGCCATGAAGTTCTCGAACTCTGCCTCCAGCCTGTCTTTGTGCAACCGAGTAGGGAAAGGGAGTTTAGGGACATACTCCTTCACTACTGGTTGCGGTTTAGGTGCAGGCACCTCAACTTCCTTCTCTACTTCCTGTTCAACCACTGGAGCCGCTAAGACAGGGCTTTCTTTCTCCGGTTCCCGAGCAGGGGGATCAACAGTCATCTTGCCACTCCTGGTCATGATGGCATTGCAGCGCTCATTCGGGGTCGGCGGGTGAGGGATGGTCTGCCCTGGTAGAGTACCAGGAGCCCTTTGAGCCACTGCCTGGGCCACGCTCCCCAGCTGGGTCTGGATATCCTGCAAAACAGCCCGTGTATTCCTCTGACCAGCTTCCAGAGCCAGGAGTTGACCCGAGGCCTTCTCCATGAACTGCTCAAAGGTGTTGAATTTCTGAGCACTGACACTGGCAAGAGAACCCACCAAGTCCCGCAGTTCAGCCATCTGATCATTCTGCACTGGGGCAGCAGGGGCTGCACCTGGCTGCTGGAATTGCCCCTGTCTGGGCTGATATGGTGGCCTCTGGAAGCCCGGTGGTCCCTGTGGAGCTGGTGGTCTGGGATTTGGCCCAGTCCAGGAGAAGTTAGGATGCTGGCGCCACCCCTCATTGTACGTGTTGCTGTAGGGGTCATTGCGCCTGACATTGTTGATGAAGTTCACCTGCTCCTGGGGCGTGGTCGATTCCTTCATCGCCTGGCAGTCTTCCACCATATGATGGGTGCTCTCGCACCACTGGCAGAGCATCGCCTGCTGCTGTCCGGTCCCTGGAATCATCCCGGAACGATCGATAGCTGAGACCAGCTTCGATACTACCTGCACCAAATCGGATGACTGGGTGCCCACAGCATGCACACCCCGTCCTGGTGCTCTCCTCGATCTCCTGGCAGTGCCCCAATCATAACCATTCTCCGCCATCTCTTCAAAGAGTTGATTCAGCTGTGGCGGGGTTTTGGTCAGCATGTTCCCGCCACAAACCGAATCGATCAGCTGCTTGTCCTCCGGGAAGAGGGCGTGATAGAAGGTGCCCACCTTGAACGCATCGTTGAAACCATGATTTGGACACCTGAGGAAAAGACTGTTGTACCTCTCCCATGCATCCCTGATGGTCTCATCCTCATCCTGAACAAAATGTGTAATTTGCTTCTGCAGGTCAGCTGTCTTGGATGGAGGATGGTAGCGGGTGAGGAACTTGTCCGCCAGGTTGGCGAACGTGGTGATGGAGCCCGGAGATCGAGTGTCTAGCCACTCCTTGGCCTGCCCCTCCAGAGTGAATGGGAAGTACCTCAGCTGGATGGCATCTGCTGGTACCCCATTGATCTTGATTCCATCGATGAGCTCGTGGAATCGCCTGAGATGTGATCGAGGGCACTCTCCCTCCTTACCACGGAACACTACTGAACCGCGCAGCATGGTGATCACGGAGGTGCTCACCTCAAAGTTGTTGGCTGGGACCTGAGGGTGCTGAATGGGTGACCTCATGTCCGCAGCCCTAGCGGTCCAGTAGGAGCCCATGGTCTCCTCCTCGGGGATCACAGCATGGTTCCCTGGTTCAGCCATCTCTTCTTCTTGCTCCTCTAACTGCAGCTGTGATAGCACCTCCTCCGCAGCCAGTCGCGCCTTTAGAGCCCGCTTGAAGTTTCTGCAGGTTCGTTCAAGCTCCTGGTCTAGTGGTAGTAGATCTCCCGACTGGCTACGGGTCATGCACTACCTGCACACAATCAGCAGAAACAACCCGTGAAGGTACACAGGTGGAAGAAATAAAAAGCAGAAAATAAAAGCTAGAGTAACAAATTCTCACGTTTCCCCAATAACCTAGAGGGTCCCCCGGCAACGGCGCCAAAAACTTGACACGCCAACACACAACACCAATCTGCGACCAAGTGTAATCGCAGACCGGGAATGTAGTAACAGGCAAGTTATATTATCAACCCGGGGTCTAGATCTACTGCTTACTCAGTGATTCTCTGTTATCTAGCCAACTAGAGTAAGTGATTGTTGTTTAAACTAAAAGCAGAAATAAAGCAGGAAATTATTCGGTTTTCTTAAGCAGGAAAGAGTCACTCGGGAATGAATCCCCCTAGCTCTTTAGTTAGGTTTCAATTGCAATTTACCCTGGGTTGATTTACTGTTGATTAGACTGCGGAAGATCCGACAGTAGCTTGGAATCTCTTAAGCTGACCAAGCCCTCTCAGTCTAACTACCCGGCAGACGACTAGTTTTCACCGGGATAGAAAGCTGAGGCTATGAACACAGAACTCCACTACTGGCGCCAAGAACACCAGTACAAAGCAGTAAACTGGCTAACTCTCGTATAGCCAACCTCCTACTATCGAATGAAGAGGCTCTAACAACCTAATCAGATTCTATCTATCTCAGGTTGAAGCAGAAATTGAGACAAGCTGATCAGACTCAAATCAATTCATGAAACATGCATCATTCGATTAAAATCAAACAGTAGTATCATCCCAAGTCATTACAATCAATCCCCTAACACATAGAACTAGGGTTCTTCATCCCCAAGTGAGAGAAGGGTTCTACTCCATAGAGAGAGAAGATAAAACAAGAATCGGATTAGTCATACTCATAACGATGAGGATAATCTGCTCCGGGACGATGATTTTCACTCCTATGACGATTTCCAGGCTCGATTCGATGAAATCCAGCTCTAAGACAGCTTCTAGGATGTGTTCTTCGTACTTTCTCTCTCTAGGGCTCTGTTTTTGCTCTGAAAACACTGTTCTCTCACTTCTGGCTCGGATTAGGCTTTAAAACCGGGTTTTCCCGAGTTGCACGGCCAGGGTGCACGGCCGTGCACCTCACCATTCTGGCCGTGCACCATGAAACGCAGCGTATCCCTTAATTGAACTCAGACTTCTTGCACGGCCGTGCAATCTTCAGGGCCTGCCCGTGCAGCTCCTCGGCATGAGGCGCACGGCCAGATTGCAACCGTGCACGGCCGTGCAGCCCCTCTGGTCTGCCCGTGCAGCTCCCAAAAACCTCGCCATTCGTCCGTTCTTCGTCCAATCGACCCCAGAATCGCTCCTAAGCCTTCATTCACGTACTAGGACCTGAAATATGACAAACAAGCACAACCTAGCGTGAAATCGGCCTAAAACACGAGAAATCACATCTCAAACGGTGTAAGAACAGGGGTAAAAACATGTGTAAATAACGGTCTATCAACTGCTCTGGGGACTTCAATGATTGTGAGAAGGTAACTGTTGCAAATGCTGGAACCTCTTAGAATTTCGTGATGGATAGAATTTTTTTGTTGAGGTTTAAGTAATGTGTGTACATGTCATATTTTTGTCCCGGTGCTGATTGGTAGCCACTTCTTTCTTTCTGTTTTTGACCTTAAGAAAGAGGTGATTGAAATATGGGACTCACTTCCAAATTGTGTCGATCCAATTAAGAGGGGAGAAAAAGTGTCACTGATTGTAAGTCATCTTGGGCATCTAAAAGGCTATGTTATGTATTCAATTTGTATATATGCTGACATATTATGTACTTGCTGTAGGCAAAGGAACTGGACTCGATCTTTTTTGAAGCAATCATGAGGAGATTCGAAGCCAAGATGTTTTGCACTTTCACCATCGTAGAGGTGGTCAATGCTCCGCGGCAAGAGAATGGGTATGTTTATCTTTCTAGTTTCTCATTAGTTGGTTTGTTTGTAATAAGCTATTTGATTGAATTTTCGGTTTAAATGTTTTTGGGCCAGGTTCGACTGTGGGTTGTTTGTGTTGAAGTTGATGACATGTGGTGGCCATTTGGATGAGTGTGCCCGGGGACTGAAGAAGAAGGTGGTTTATTCCCTTCATCTTGGTATTATTTTTATTGACGCAATTTTGGTCATTTTTTTATGGCTTCCTCATTTACATTTTTCAGTTTGACAGTGAAGAGGAGAGGCTGGGTCTAGCTCTATACTTGTTGAACAATATGGAGAATAGGAAGCGTGATGCTCTCCATCAGAAGGTACTCATGGAAACTGTTAGTGGAGGTGATTCCCTGGAGGGCGGTGTGGAATGGAGTGGGACTCCTGAATAATTAGGGAATGGCAAGGCACTAAGATTTTGATGTATTTGTTTATTCCCAAAAAATCAAAGAACTGGAGCAGTTGCTGCTAGGTGTTTTTGTGACATTTTCTTTTGTTCTCCACGATCGTTACTGCATTGGAATTCCCAAATTTGATTTTTGTTTGCTCGTAGAACCACTGTGATGTATTTGTGCTTTTTATTGTTGTTTGCAGCTGCGATTTTGACAAAATATTACACCAAAGTGGCGGCTGGAAATTCTGGAAAACAACTGTTTATTTATCCTCCTTATTGTCCTCAATCGGTAGATGGGTTGAGCTTATTACATATCAAACATGCACCAGGGGATGCATTAACTGGGCGGCGGCTGGAAGTTCTCGGAAAACAAATCATCCTCCTCTTCATTCTTCTCTGTAGATGGGTTGAGCATACTGTAAAAAAAAGGGGGTGGCGGCGGGTTGAAGTCCATGGAAGACAACTCCTTTTCCTCCTTATTGTTCTCCGGCAACTGGAAATTATCGGAAAACAACTCCTTCTCTTCCTGATTGTTCTCCGCAAATGGGTTCAGCTCCGCCTCGAATTCCTCTACTCTCGAGTGCTGCTCTGCATCAAGATACTCTGTTTTGGTGGGAGAGATTTCGAACGTCTTCCTCGTTAGTAGTAGTTTGTCGCCCAATTGATCCTTCATCACGCTCTTCCTGAACTCTCCAATATATTTTCTTGCATTCGTGTCTCGGCAGGCAGCGATCTAATGACACAAGACATAAGATTGCGGATCAATGTTATCTGAAGATGTATAAGAAACAGAGTGTCATCGAAAACCTGAAATACATTACCAGGAAAAGCAATACGATCAGCTGGATTGCGACGAAGTAGCAGGAATTCGCCATTGTCGTATACTCTGTTTAGCTTTCTTTACATATGTTTGATTTGTGTGTGGAGGTATCTGAGCATTTTCTGCAGTTTATATTGTAGTTCTAAAATAGTAGCTAGCTAGCCAGCCAGCTAGAATTCCCGTGTTCATGCATGATTACGATGCTTTACTGGACAGGAAAAGTGAAGTGTGTATAATTAGTAATTATTTTCTTTAATTGTATTAAAATTTCCCCATAAGTATGATTATTATCATATTTCGAGTTCTAAATTGCATCAGGATTTACGTGGCTCTTAAAATGAGTACTGGAACAGAGCAGCAGACCTGGCTGAATAATTAACGAGTCGTGTCGAATCGATAATCCTTCGTGCAACGGATTCATCTAGGAATTGCATATCCAGCCTAAAAATGGGAAGTCCGTACTTAAATTGAAGGGGATGTTTCAGGAAAGCAGAGAGCTATGTACACATCAGGGAAAACTGATCAGTGTAGCAATGGATGAACATGTTGGTCGCATATCGAACAGAGGCACGCTGCAAGGATTCAGGGCGACAAGACATAGGATATGATGAATTGCTTTAGGCTGCAGATGGCTCTGCGCCATCATGAAGGGCACAGCAGACAGTTGCTTTGTGATGGCCTTGATACACTCTAATGTCCTCAACAGTTGACATTGACCACAGTTTTGCTGTTGAATCAGAAGACGCTGCATTTCATCAATGACGAGTCAGGTTGGTACACAAGAAACTAAAACACAACATCGATTTAACCATATGCGAGCAAGAAATCAGGCCTCGGACTTCATTCTGCATTAGGGTACCTGTTATAAGGTAAGCACCATCTACAGAGAAAATACAGTCCCACACCCAACATTGATGACCTGGCAAATCGCACGAACAGATAAGGATGTGATGATAATAACAAGCTGATCGACAACAGAAGCGATTCGTGGGGATTTCAATTGGAACACTGTTTACAAATACAATACCTGTTAAAGTCTTCTCTAGAGTGAAACCATCGACATTCCATATCTTGACAGTATGGTCTGATGATGCAGTGGCCAGATACCTGAGAAATAAACAATTCAACAAACAACTAATCGTCATTTCTGAATTGGATTGTGATGGAAATAGGAAAGGAACCAAAAGAAATTTTTTGGAAGATACCGGTGAGGTTCACAGAACCGGGGGACAAGAGACATTTGAGGATGTATCCATTATGAGCTTGTAGTTTATGGAGCGGCTCGAAGTTGGTCATTGTCTGCCAAACATATTGCAATTTTTTAGGTAACATAGTGTAACATACTGAAAAGTGCAGTAATATGTTTTTACTAAAGAACTCGCTAACTTACTTGGGTTCCTCGTAACAACCGCCAAACGTAGCAGGTTCCATGATTGTTAGCAGCAACTACCAAGCTTCCATCCCACATAATGTTAGTGACCTTACAGCTGTATCCACTTCAGGAACCTGTAAACATGATTCGTTGTTTAGCAAAATCAAATAGAACTGATCGGCACATGCACTGGTTCATGGTCCTTTGTTTTTACCTCAGTATTGGCAGCATAGTTATTAGTAGTAATAATAATAGTCCCATAAAGAAAAAGAACTGTGTTTCCTATTAGGCAACATACCAATTCGCAGCTGCATGAGTTAGCTGTCAAATCCCAAACCCGAATGTTCCCATTTTGGTCCCCAGATATCAGTTCTGTCTGCAAATAGAAATCGTTACACGCTTTAGTACTAGCAGAATTCACTTATGCTGAATGGAACTCAGATCCTACCCAAAGCATCATACTCGGCATTTATCAAAGACAAACGTGACATTGTAATTTCACTATGATGGGTTTCAGAGAGTAGACAAAGTACACCATCGTCTAAACTCATGCACCTGATATCTGGTGAAACAAATCCCTGACATATTAATTACTCTTCTGCAGTGACTCAGTATCTTTTCTTAGCATGTTTCCATACAAATCCAGTTCACTATTTCCACCACGGCCTTTAAAAGTACAAGCACCCACGGACAAATCAGGTTCACAATTCTTACCAAGACCTTTAAAAGTACAAGCACCCAAGTGTGCACACAAAGTAGCACCGCAAAATAGGTAGCCTAACAAGCATTCTAAACAGAGATGCACAAGCTGGAAAAGAGTCCCTTATCATCTCAGCAACGAAATGGAACTGCATCCTAGAAAAACGAGTTAAACAAAAATACGGATTTGATTTCTGAGGAATACGTATGCAGAGAGAAAATTGGAGGAGTTAATTTGGGTTAGAGTTTCCCTCACGAAGTCCCCCACAATCAGTTGCTTCTGTACATGTACGCACAGAACACTGGAACTGGCAAACTGGTTTATTCTACACAGCATCGGCGCAACTCAGAACAGCTGCCCACATGGACAAGGATGGGAATCACCCTAGCACAAGTTTTGGTTTCAATAGTGAGAGAGAAGAGGATCGAACCACAGAGGCAGAGGCTGCCAATCAATCGCAGCATAGCGCTGATTTGAATGCCGAGAGAGAAGGGACTATAACTCCGCCAATTGATACCAATATTTTGGAGTCAGAAACCCCTTCGAGTGGAGATGAAGAGGAGACTGAAGTTGCATCCGGAATTCAGCATGATGAAGTCCCTTTGAATGGAGAAGCATTGGAAATTTTGGCCAACCTTACAGCAGAGGATGTCATCGGTCGGAAATTCAATACCATTGACGACGCTTACAATTTCTATAACAGGTATGCAAGAGCTTGGGGCTTCTCTGTGAGAACTGAGAGGAAAACTGAAACCAAAAAGGGGGAAATGACTTCTCGAAAATTTGTTTGTTCAGCTGCGGGAACAAAACGCAAACGAGTAAAGGAACTGAAGCTAACTGCACGCTTGAACACTCGATTTCATTGTCAAGCTTTCATGCGTGTTCGCTTGGACAGGTTAGACAAGTTCTTTCCATTCACAAAAATGAGCATAGACAATCAGCTCATCCTCGAACCCACTTTCGAAGAAGAGAAGAGGCTTTGTAGTGTGTTCTGGGCGGACAGCATAAGCGTAGCCGATATGTCATGCTTTGGGGATTTGCTAGCTTTTGACACCACATACAAGAAAAACATTTACAACATGCCGCTAGTTGTTTTCTCAGGTACGTAACCAACCTTTTTCGAATCAAAGTCGTTCCATCACTCCTCATTGATATGCAACTCTATCTTCTATTTAGCTATACATGACTTTAGCATCACTTTTTAGGTATCAATCACCATTGTAAGAGCTGTATATTTGGATGTGCTTTATTGGCTAACGAGACAGAAAAGAGTTATGATTAGGTTCTAGGGAAGTTGAAGAAAGCAATGGGAGACAAAGAATCTCAGATGATTGTAACAGATGGTGACAAAGCGATGAGGAATGCCATACAGAAAGTGTTTCCTGCTGCAACTCATCGACTGTGTTCATGGCATATCGCCAAGAACATTGTGAGTTTTCTAAAGAATAATAAAGCATTGGAGCTTGAATGGAAGAAGTTTGTATATGTTGATCTTAAATCGGCTGAATTTGAAGAAAAATGGGCGGAATTGGTCTCAAGTCACAAACTGGAAGATTGTCAATGGGTCTCCGATTTATTTGATAGACGAGGGGAATGGGCATACACATACCTTCGATCTTACTTCTTTGCAGGGTTGTCAACAACCTCTAGATGTGAAGGAATCAACTCACATCTTGGAAGTTATGTAACCGAGAACCACAATTTGCTTGAGTTTTTTTATCCATTTTGATCGATGGATTGGAGAGTTGAGGGAAAATGAGGTCAAATTGGATTTTCAATCTAACCATGGTGTCCCGGAAATGAAACATCCGGCATTGCGCACACTTGAAGAAAGCGGTGCAAAGATATTCACTAACAAGATATTCCGCAAGTTTCAAAAGGAGCTAGGATTGGTGGAGGGTTGTATCAAGAGTAATCATGTGGTAGATGGAAGTGTGCACAATTATGAGGTAAGCTTGTTTGGGAAACAGAAGAAGTTCACTATCAGATATGATGTTGAAACCAAGGAAATGGAGTGCAGTTGTGCTAAACTTGCATACATGGGAATCCCATGTTCCCATATTCTCTATTTATTGAAAGAAGAGAACATACCAACGATTCCAGAAGAGTTGGCATTAAAAAGATGGAGCAAGAATCCTAAGACTATAGAAGTTACGCAACAACCACTGGATATCAATGACCCTTGGCCATTTAACGTTAGGTATGGGCTGCTGCAATTTTCAGCATTGCGGTTTTGCTTCCTAGGGGCAAATACAGTAGATACTTTTCAGTTTGCAAACAAGTTAATGGCAACTACGTGTGACCAATTGAATAGCATGCAAACTGGTACTACTAAGAGGTCGACAATAGAGATACCAGAAGAATACAAAGCTGTAAAAAACCCAATGAAGGTAGCATATAAAGGTGGTAAAACTGGAAAACGGAAGAAGTCGGACAAGAAGCATCGGAAGTGTGGTCGATGTGGAGATGAAAGGCATTATAGAAGCACCTGTGATAAGCCTGTGGGATATGTACGTCCTAAATCACCGGGGTTAGATGAGGAAAATGATGATGGAAACGGGGAACCAGATTATTCTAGTATAAGAATGGTCCAAACAGCCCACCACGGCAGGTGAATTAAATACGCTAATTCTGTGAATTTCCTAATCTTACAGTGTGTTTTATTTCCATTGTTTATGATATCTTTGTATAATGAATCTATAGTTTCTGATTTTAAAACTAGTTTCTTTCATTTTGCTGAATCGGCGGAAGACTAGGAGTAGTACCAAGCAGACTGAAGGTCAGTCCAATAACACTAATGGTGAACAGAACGAAGGGGTTGTTGATGGTTCACGAGACGGACCTGGGAAGGTATTAGTTGTGAACAACACTACCTATGAAACAAATTAAATTCATCTTCTATTTTTATTCTAACAACACTAACATTTTATATGACAGCAATGGAAAGTAGCTACAAATGAAGAAGAAAATGATGACAACAATGATGAAGAAGGTAGCTAGCCCCCAAAGGTGAGTGGAATGACTGTATCCAGTTTCTTAATGTCTTGACCTATTCATTCTGAATTAGTGTGGTGACAAGTATGGACATTTTTTGTAACAGACCATGCCACGTATTAGAAGTGCTACTAAAGGTAACAGAGAGCGCGGAGAACCCAATCAACGTGCACAAACTTGTGTGCAACCTCCAACTGATGAGCCTCCACAGGTACGTGATGCAACATCATGTGTTCAAGTATACATAATATCTGGCTTAACTGTGTGATTATATATTTTGTGTTTGTTGTTACAGACGAGGAGACAGACTAGAGATAATGGTAGGGGAAAGAACATCATCAACTAAGCATGAAGTTGTCCTCTATCTATGCTTGTTTAGCTTTCTGTTTTTTTATATGGATTTGGATTTGGAGAACAAAGATTACCACATTCATTGAAGAACAAAGATTATAGTATTTCTAGATAACAGCATCAGAGCTCTTCCATTTATATATGTTGCTTATAATTATTAATGGAACATACCCGGATGAGTGGAACATGTCTGCCAAACAGAACTCCCTCTTGCATTAATAGATTGACTGGACCTGTTTCATCGACATACAAAAGTCCCTCTTGCATCAGGTAAATGACTAAAGTATCAGTAATTGACTGTGTAAGTAGGATAGTTTAGCAAAATTCACCTTATTAGCCTTTCCTACTGCAGTATTGCTTCAATCTTTCCCACAGCAGCACTCGAACCAGCCTACATAGTTACACCGCTTACATAGTTTCAGTGTTTTAATGATGATAATAGAACCTCTATAAAAAAAACCAATGTGAAGAGCCATCCATTACCATTCACAACCAACAGGAGGTAGTAGGTACTAACTTGCAGAAACTTGTTGAAACTTCTTGTCAATTTGCAAAATAATTGCCTTGCTGCTCAAGGAACCACCATTCTGCAAGTCGATGCTTATATGAGCCTCGAGTTGATCCATTTACATAAGTTGGCTGGGGAAATGACAAGAAGTTTCAAACGAGGCACACATGACTAAGCATTCACTAGTTCTATTCAAAAGACTGAGAAATATGTAGGATGAGCAACTCACCCGAACTGGATGTCCAATTACACTGTTGAAGACATCAGATTTACCAGGACTCTTAACATATGACAAAAACTGAAATAAAAAAATAAATAGCAATGTGAGTTAGAAGTAAACTAAGAAAATACAAAATGCAAAGACATCAATGAAATCAAAGTTCAGACAGAAATGAAAAGACACAAAAGCAAAAGGCTTCCCCTGAACCAGAGACAGGCACTCGGCATATCTCCCTGCGTTAAGCAACTTGGACTTGTCGCTCCAGGAATGAGCCTGACACCACACAAACACTTTCATGAGCTCTATTAGAGAAGAGAGGACTAGAGATAGATATCAGTTACCAGGTAACTGACAACCAAACTGATGTAACTAGTTGAAGAGCTAACTGAAAAACGGTGACCAAGTTTTG